ATTAGGCTAAATTGAATTGTGTGTCTGTGTGTGACTGTTAATGTATGTGTGTTGGTGCTGTTAGAGGGTGTAAAGGAAAGAGGTTCATTAAGAGTTAATTATATTGTTTCTCAGGAGCAGCGGCGGCATACATTTTTCCTGGATCGGGCAGCAGACTCGCCCACTGAGGTCCTGCTGTCATTACTGTGCTGCCCAGGGGCTTGTTAGGCCAAATTAGGGGTTCTGTTTGAAAAATGAGCTTTGAACAGGGCTGCTGTTTAAATAAAGATGTTTGTTTAGGCTCATCAGCTGAATTGGAGGTAGAGGCACAGTATGTGGCAGAGAGTTTGATGGAATTCACTCCATTCATGTACAGTTGGCCCCATCGATTCAGCACCTTTGTACTTCTCACCACCTCCTCAGTTTGACCTTGATCAGGCATCCTCTCCTCATCCCCTGTTGTGTGGTGTTGTGTCTTGCCTCTTTCTGAATTCTCACAAGAGCCACATGCTCTGGCTCTTTTATTCCCTCTCAGGCTCTATTAAAGATGCACATTTCATATGATATCACCACCTGTGATTTCTCTCCACTGTGGTATCACTGCCAGCCATATGATTCCCTTTACCAACGCTCTTTACCATATTTCCTGCATCTTATCTGGGAAAGTGACAGTGTTATTTACAATCCCTTAGCTCAGGATTTGCAGATAGGGAGAATGGCGGTGGAGATCATATCGGGCTCGGCCATGGTCTATGGAGAATGATCTGTGTGCATGCATACGGCTTCATCTGCAGAACCTAATCTGCAGTCAGTGCAGTGAGAGCGCTGACAAGCCAGTGGAGGAAACGCATGGGACAACGCTACGGGGGTTGGAAAAAAGGATGAACCGAGAAGATGGAAAGAGAGAAAAGACAGAAAATAGCCCCCTGATGGTGGTAGGAGGGAATAAGACAGACATAGAGAGATAGTGATGAGTTGTGTTAATGATGAGAGTCTCTGCTCAGTTCTCGGAGGAGGCACAGCCATAGGCACTGCCAGACGGCCATATTGTTGCAGCTGTTTCCCTAGTCTGACCTGCAACCCCTCAGTGGAGGAATATGGGGGATATGTGTGAACCTGCTGCTTGCCTGCCTGCTGAGGGGGTAATTTCTGCATCTGGATGGGGGGGCAAAGGTGAGCTCTGGCCGGTGGGAGGGCAAATGAGCGAGTCAGAGCTGGGGAAGAGTCTTGCATCCAGACAAATGGAGCACATCTCCTTCCACAGCGTAGTATTACATAGTGTGGCATTATCCTTCTCCTGCCCTCAGCGTCAACAGTAATACAAAGCACCAATGACAGCACATAGAGTAGGTTTGGTATGTTTTGTCAAGTGACATATATATTGTCTCTCTTCTCTCAGGGTGGAATTGAAAATGGCGTTATTGTAATAGCACTCTGCCGGATGAAGCGCAAAAAGCACTCGAAAGAAATGATATTATAGCTCGGAGCTACCACTCCACAGCTCTCCCTGTTTATGTGTGTGTGTGTGCATGGTTTATTTTCTAATCAGAGTGTGGGTAGAAGGTGGTGGGTCTGCCTGCTGGGTTATGGCCATGGGCTTGTAGCTGTTGTAATCTCTCGTAGTGTTTCTTAGCCCTTGACCCTGGAGAATATCTATGAAAGCACAGAGGGTCTTTTTCTGCAGTCAATAGGAAGGGAAATATAATAACAACTGCAAACATACACCAATATCCACATTTGCCACATTACAAAAAGATACCAAAGCCCTGCAGCTTTTAAAAATCGCTCTCAGTTTGTCAGGGCTGTGTGTTTTTTTTATGTGTGTGTGTCGAATGTCTATCAAAGTGATGTGAATGTCAAACCAGAGAGAAAAGAAAAAAAAAAAAAGATTTTAGACATCAGTCTGTGGTGATGTGGCAGCGAGCGCAACCTTTGTGAACCAAAGCTCGGCTCGCTCCTGTAGGTGAATGTGTTTGTCAGCACTTATCTCAGTATGCTGGCTGGAAGCTTCAGTCAAGGCTCCCCACTAATCTTACAGACAAGCGGTGTCACCCTCCAGTGAATAATATCTTGGGTGGGAGAAGAGGCCGCACTGTACAAAATATCTCCTCTCTTACCGCCCTTGCCCTGCCACCTCCGCGCTATATGTCGGGTGCTTGTGCTGTCATGTATCTGCACCCGGCTGATTTTTTTTTTTGTGTGCTGAGTCTATCTTAGGATAGAACACACACACACACACACACACACACAGACACACAGACACACACACACATAGAGACCTCCCTAATCGTTGCCCCCACCCTGCCAATCTGTTTTACAAAGTTACTGTGTGGGTGTCTCCTTTGTGTTTTTATTTTGGCAAAGACCTCCACTCTCAACCCCTTGGCTATTTCACACGGTGCAAGTTGCAACCCGTATCCTTCTTCTATAAGTTCAGAGAGTTGAAAAAGTGCCAGCTGACGGAACAGCAAATGTGCCATGCTTTGCCCCCTGCCTGCTGCTCCTTCATTCAAATCAGCCCACTCCTCTGATACTTGGGGAAATAAATAAATAAATGGAATACAAGGCAGATTAATACTTTTTTTTCAGATATGAGCTCTTTTTTAGCCTGCAGCCGGATTGGCAGATGTAGCACTTGCCAAGAGAGAGGTGTAAATGTAAAAAAATATTAATATTAATAAGCGAGTAAGCAAGGCGGCAGAGTTTGAGGCCTGCTGGAACTCTGCGGGAGGTGGGATGTTTTCAGTGGAAGAAGAGTTGAGTGTTTCATGGGGATAGAAAGGCAATTACCTTACGTCTGTCGGCTGATTCGGGCTTGAACGCCTACAGGGCCTCAGCGTTGGAGCCAGAGTTCATTCTCACACAGCACATGCACAGACCCACTTAATGAGTCGCTCATATCAAATGTGCTTCACATGGACTAACAGAGAAGACAGGCATGTTGTAATTCTGATATTAAAGCATTCTCTTGCCTTATGATTGCCCGTGACATGGTGCAGTTGAGCCTGTGGAGGAGCCTGTGGGCAGCCGTGGAGGAGACGCATGCTTATACTATTATAGAGAAAGGCAGACCTTTACTGAGGGGATAAATATTTGAGTTGAGTGTGTTTTAACTGTCGGATGTGACCTTGGTGCCTGTGGCCTTGCAGTTAGGATTAGATAGTGGACTAAAGTGTATTTGGATTGAGCCCTCCCCTCATTTACTTAGTGAATGTATCTATTCAGAGTCTGTGTATCAGCGAGCCTTAAACCAACACACAGGGCATAATCCTGACCAGTGTTGTGTCATCTGTTTGTTTGCTTATAGCTGTTTGTAACCCACTGTTTATCCTGCCCTCAACAAGTGTGCTGTGTTTTATCTGCCACAGTGTGTGTCTCCTCTGTTTTTATCTGTATTTATTTAGATTCCAGAGTAGGGATGCATTTACTGCAACACACTGTGTAGTATTAGATTAGATTAGACAGCGCGGCACAGGCACCGTAATGATGCACCTAACCAGTGTTTCTTTTGTCACTGTTCTGTTTCAAAGGAAATTGATTCTGACAGAAATCCCACGGGTGCTATCAGCAATGAATGGAAAGAGCAATTAAATCCAATGTGATCTTGAAAACAACAGGCAGTGTATGGTCCAAACCAGGCTATGATTTTAAACAGCAGGACTTTTGTTTGTAATGCAAATACGGGGAGCCCAGTGGTGGTGGCTATGATGCCCATCCTGGCCTGGGGGGGGGGCTGCCTCACTAATTACCTTAGCTCTTTAGATTAGAGGGCAGCCCTGCATGAGAGAGAGAAAACCTCTACCTCCTTGTTTTATTCCCTCCTATCACACCTGTGTAAAGATTCCATTTGAATTCATGTCACACAGAAGTCCCTCTCTGTACCCCTGTGCATCCCCAGGATAATTGGGTTGAAAGCTTCATCTATTCCTCGTCACTGCTTCCTTTCGTCTAAATAAATAAATAAATAAGAAGACAATGCTCGGCTTGCTGTAGAGCGGGTAAGAAGACAAGTAAATGAAGAGATGAGAGGAGCCTGGACCACGGGGACCCGTTATCCCTCTAATAATCCTAGCCCTCCCTGTCATTGTCCCCTTTGCCACGTGGAATTTACATAAGAACCTGTGGTGGTGCCCTTAATTTAGCCCTCCTCAAGCATCTTCAAACATCCTCCAACAAGCTCACTCCTTTCATCCATTAGAGGAACCACGTGCCCCTCACTGCCGCAGAGACGGACACACAGCTGCAGCCGAAGTTCCTAAAGTGCTACACCACGGATAAGATTTATTCTAGATCAAATGGATAAAACTCAGTATGAGTTAGCACAGCAGGTGAGCCAGTGCCACCCCCTGTTTGTACCTTCTAAAACTTTTCTTTTCATTCGATAAGCTATTTTGTATTTCGCTCAATTTCTGAGTACACCATTAATTTAGGATTAGATGTAGTATTTTCTCGTACATATTTATGCTTTCACATTTACATCTGTGTGCTCATGCGTGTGCTTGTGTGTGATATCAGCTTTTCTGATTGGATAATGAGCTGGTTTTGTGTGTTTCACTGAACACTATGCAGGGTGAGAGGCTATCTCCATGACGCAGGGCCTACCTGAGGGTGATTACATGCAGGGCCACAGTTGTTCATCAGACCACCCACTGTTTTTGTGTGTGTGTGTGTGTGTGTAAGTGTGAGAGCACATATCTGGTTGTGCATAAGTGAGAGCATGTGTACATGCTAGTGCGGCACCCTGTGGGCTCTCACATGTGAATGACACCAGGCTTCAGGGCATTCTGTCTCTGTTTGTTCTTCTACCTCCACAGGGACTTCCATTAGCTCCAATTAGTTTCTGTTTGTGCTTGCCTAGTCAGATGAAGCTGCACATCCCATTTGAAGAGACACAATGAATTCATCCATGCTGCATTTTGCACACAATTTAAGACATGAAAAATTTGAAATATAGTGAATATTTCGACAAAAACAACACAGTTGCACTCTTGCTGAACTGTTTCCTCCTTCTTTCCCCTCAGTGCTACGAGATGACTTCAGACAAAACCCTACAGATGTGGTGGTGGCAGCAGGAGAGCCAGCGATCCTCGAGTGTGTTCCTCCCAGAGGCCATCCGGAGCCCACCATCTACTGGAAGAAGGACAAAGTGCGAATTGATGACAAGGATGACAGGATCACAGTGAGTGTCCACTGAATAGGAATAACTTTTTTTGTCAAAGTCTACTGTTAACTTTTTTGTGTGTGTCTGGGCATGTATAAAAAAGCCCTTGCTGCTGGAATTTGACAGTGTTTCCATGTGTTGGAAGCATGGGAGGGATCCTTCGTTTGTTGCTGCCCAGCTAATGGTCTGACAGGGAAGAAATTCTGCACGTGGAAGGGAATAAATCAAAATGATCTGTGTATTTAAGTGATTTTTCTTTGTGTCTTTAGATCCGAGGAGGGAAACTAATGATCTCCAACACAAGAAAGAGTGACGCCGGCATGTACATCTGTGTGGGCACCAACATGGTCGGAGAAAGGGACAGCGAGACTGCACAAGTCACAGTGTTTGGTGAGCTTCACTTTGTTTCTCCTCAGTAATGTTGATGAGCCACATCCATCCATGCATGTATACTACATTTTCCCAGTTACGGTATAATTCTCCATGTCAAGTGGAAATACTTTCAAGGCATGTGTTTTTACAGTTGAATTTTAAACCCTGACGAATGTTCTTTTCTGAAACCCATGTGCTGTACATCATATTTAATGTTTAGCCGTTAAGATGTCAAGAAGTTGAATGAAATTTACGATTAGTTAAAATATCGACTGTTCCTGTATTGTGAAAGGAGCCAGTTATGGGTGTCGTAGTGTCGTTGCTATATTTCTTTTACCACATAATGACCACGGGGTAACAAAAATTACAAATGATCGCAGAATTTTACTCAACAGCATACCACTCATTAGAAATTTATTATTAGAGATTTATGAAAGATTCTGTTGGAAGAGAGTGCTGTGCAGAATAATACGCCTACTGTATAGTCACTGGAAATGAAATGATCTCTTTTTTTTTCTCTCTGCCCTTCCTGCAGAGCGACCAACCTTCATCCGGAGGCCCATCAACCAGGTGGTCCTGGAGGAGGAGACAGTGGAGTTTCGCTGCCAGGTACAAGGAGATCCCCAACCCAATGTACGCTGGAGGAAAGATGATGTTGATGTTCCTCGTGGGAGGTAAGCATTAAAATAGGCTCGATTTCAGGAGAACATTTCTTAAGACAGTGATACAATTATTTCCCTTCTTGAGCAGCCACTTCTGAGTGTGTGCCTTCATCTGTGCATGCCAATCTGTGTGTATGTGTGTGTGTGTAGTGATGTGACAGGCTGCACTTAATGCAAAGGAGCTGTGGAGGCATTGATGTCAGTCTGAGTGACTGTTTCACACTAATGACAACTCTCACTGCCAGCTCTCACCTGGCTTGGCTGCCAGAGGGCAATAAATAGCCACATTAGGCTGTACTACGCACATTACACATTCTGGATAAAATGACTCCACATGTGGGTGCTCCAGAACCTGGCTTGCACAGTCACAGGAGGGATAGACGGTGTCTTATGTCAAGGAAGGGCCCTACAAGAAGACAAACAGAATTTGAGCTAGACAATTAAAACTGAGTGACAGGTTAGGTGGGAGGGAGGTTACAAGAAGTGTTAAGAAAAGAGACAGATAGAATGACAGGAGATACGAAGAGTGGGAGCATAGATGCTGACATGAGCTTTAAGTGTCTGCGTACAGGTGCAGCAACTCGGGTGAAATCTTGGCACAGGCACCTCGGAAAGCAAGGGAGATAATCACTCCCCAACTTATGCATTTAAACCTTTGTCAGTGTATTTGCTCATATTAGAGACGAATGTAAGAAAAAACTGTAAAAGTCTCTAATTTACAGAAGCATGCCTCCACTATTGCCAGCTGCAGACTGTCTGACTTCCAGTAAACAGCCCCGGATGATATGGTGATACTGTTGGGTCCTGTGCGTCAGCCTGTTGCTCCACTGTGAGTCACTGGACTCACAGTCAACAGCAGTGTCATTTTCCGGAGTGGACCTCAAAGAGACCAGCGTTCTTTCCCCGGCCAGCAGGCCAGTCACACGCTGCTTGGATCACCTCATAAAGCATACACTCAGCGGACCTGACATCTCTCAAGGCAATAGCTGCAGAGCTGAGCGTGGGCAGGTTGTTTGTGCCTGATAAGGATTTGGTTCGCTGGGCAGTGGGACGTGAGCACTGTGCCAAAACACATAAAAGTATTTCACTCGTGTCTTTGATAGGGAGTTGGCTCTGGAAGTGTCTTCATTTTGTACACTAATTAACAGACTTATGTAGGATGAGTGTCATGTGTCTGTGTACTTGCTAACTGTATCACCCCCTTTGAAGTTTGGCCTTATTTGGAAATGGAAAATAACTGAATACCTGAAAGAAATTATACTGCTGGAATAAATAAACAATTAATATTGCAGTGTTTGTAATTACATTGGAAGAACTTTTGTTTTCCTTCCCAATATTTAATTCTCCAGTTTCGCTTTGATGCACAAAAGCAAGCAGAAAGACTGTGATATTCTAATTTTGACATTTTCTGCCGCCTTTTCGTTGCGTGCCAAAATGAAGACTCTTCATATTGTTAAGTGACGATCTGTTCCCACTTCCTCTGCTTCTGATACTCTCTTAGCAAACATCAAACATGGATTCGGTCTGACTGACAGAGAAGCTGTTTAAAAATCCACGCAAGAATAGTTTCCACGATAACTGGTGCTCTGGAGAGGAAGAATAAAAACAGCTACTGTAGCACAGCCGTTGTGTCATTTACACTGTGGGCTTCTGTTGCTGTATCTGTCTCGGTCAGCTCTGTGGGCGCTAGAGGCGACTAAAGATCAAGCACTCCCATATGCAGTGGGGGGGGTGGTCTATGTTTGTTCTTAAACCGAAAAGGTTACACTGTCCTTATTATTATGATAAGCTATAGAAAGAGAGATACTTACTGAGGCCATTCCTTCTCTAACATCAAACTTGTCTTTGCTGGTCCCTTTACATGCATTGTGTGTGTGTGTGTGTGTGTGTGTGTGTGTGTGTGTGTGTGTGTGTGTGTGTGTGTGTGTGTGTGTGTGTGTGTGTGTGTGTGTGTGTGTGTGTNGTGTGTGTGTGTGTGTGTGTGTGTGTGTGTGTGTGTGTGTGTGTGTGTGTGTGGGTGTGTGTGTGTGTGTGTGTGTGTGTGTGCGTGCGTGCGTGCGTGCGTGCGTGCGTGCGTGCGTGCGTGCGTGCGTGTGTGTGAGAGAGTGACACTTTTATACTAGGATGAAGGCAAATGGAGCCTCAGCTGAGTAAACAGGTCTTTAATATGCTCAGTGGCTCCAGTAGCCTCCCAGGCAAACACACACACACTGGCACACAGATAAAATGACACAGGATGGCACTGGCCTCGGTCTCTGTGGTATAGAACAGGAGATAGAGACAACACAAGACTGGTTTCAATTAGGGGACAAAGACAACAGTGCTGCTCTTTTTACCTCACTCTCAGTGTTCCACCATGTTTGTTAAAATCTAATCACCAAACAACCTTATCTGTTCTAAGACGCTCATCAACAGGCTTTGATATGGCAGCATGATAAAATAGGTTAATTCCATATCCAAATCCCTATAGATATCACAGTGAGACCAATAGAACCTCCATACAAGTATCTGCATTGAAACCATAAATTAAAATGCCAAAATGCAGTTGTATTATTTATGATTGGGAATTTATATATTAGGAATTTTTGACACTGACTCTAAATATAAATTTAGCTAAAGTTGTTTACATGAGTTTTTAACCACGGTCATTTCTCTTTTTCCACGCAATGGAGCACATTCAAATTAAGGACTTAACCTTTAAACTTATTTGTGGTCTATAAATTTGTCGCCAAATTAACAGAAAAATTCATATAAACTCTGTTCGGACAGGATTAGTATAAAACTCATTCCATCCAAAGCCAAAATGCAGGACCTGATGTTTTTAAGGGACAGAGATGTTTCTTTTTGCCTATTATGTGTAAGGAGAGGGCTCAAGTCTTGGAGGCAGTAGTGTTAAATACATGTAGCCCACTACACCTGAAATTAGTTATAGGAAGGCAGAATAGCTGAGACAGAATAATTACCTAAAGCTGAAATTAGATCAGCCCATTTTATGAGCTTGTAGCTTCTTGTTCTTTTTAATGGCTTTTCTTTTTTCTTTTTAAATATTCATCATGTGGGCTCCAAAATGGGACTGCATGTTGCCAACAGGTCACAAAAACCTTTTCAATGTCCTCCATTGTGATGCACGACTCTTGAGTTCTGTGTGACAATGTGCTGAAAGAAACAAAATACTAGAAAGGACCTAAATAACAAGAGGACCAATAAGTGTGCTGAACAATGGATAGAAATTGGGGCTTTCATTATCACCAGTGTAAGAGGAGGAAAATCAAATATATCCTGCTCTGGGCAGGATTAAAATCACTGACCAGCACATGTAAAATTAAAATCAACCAACCTCCCCAAGAGAAATAAGTCCAGCACAAAAGGGATTCACTCTTTTTACTAAAATACGATTAGATTCAGAGGGTGGAGTTGTGTGTCATCCCTGGGGAAAATCTTTGGTGTGTGTCTGCACATCCACACATATAAAAAATACTGATAGACAGTACGTACTGACTCTATGATGCTCTCCCATAATGCTGCAAAAATTGATAACCTCCATATTTTGCAGTGCTTACTCAATTCTTACCATTTTTTAATTTGTAAGTGTCATCATTTGGATCAATATCAGTAGCAGATTAACATCCGCCTGACAAGCTTCTCTGCAGAATCCTGGTGAAAACACACAGTAGCTGCTCACAAATCAGAGATCCAGGAGAGCAATTCTGTAGAGAGCTCTGTCTCCAAATGGAAAAGATCCTGTCGTAGTGTCTGAATCCGAGTGAAAAGACTAAAGGCAGCAGTGTGTGTTATCTCCCACTGCCCACCAGCTCAGTATGTGGGCCAAGTCTTTCCAGCCTTTGGGTTCCCTGTCCTGCCTCATTTGCACTGGACCCTTGTGCCCTCTCCTGTGCCTTATCAGAGGCCCTTTGGTCTCGCAGTCTATCTGTATTCAACCGTCCCTGTTGACCTCCACAGCGCAGCCCCTGCAACATTCAGCAGAAAAGCTTCTCTTTCTGACTCAATCCCTCTGTGGTGTGTGTGCATGTGTGCGTGCGCCTGTGCGTGCGTCGGGGTCATTCTCTTTGAGAGAGCTGTTAAAGCTAGTGTGACAGGAGCGCTTTTGTTATGCTGACCATCCAGTTTCAGTGATTTCTCACCTCTGCAACTCAGCAGAATAAAAGACAGCAGACTATGCTTCCTGTCTCCAATACTTCTCTTGATATATAAGAGGATACATCTGGTATTTATGAGGGCATTTGTATTCGGGGGTTGGTAAGAGAAACGGCAGCAGGGTGATTGGAGCTATAATTTATCCTTTAGGTTTATTGACACGGATTGTGTCAATAGCAATACAATACTTCACGGTGTGTTGTAAGGACTATAGAAAACATGATTTAACATTAATTAGGAAATGTGCAGTCACTAATTTATTATGTGTCAGTGCTTTTCATTCCCATTCAATCCTATTCTTGCTTTGCTGCATCGCCACTGCAAAAATACTTGAGTTTGGATTTTCTCGAAGCTTTTGGTGTGTGTGTCCTTTATTTATCTCACATACTCACAAATGTAACATTGGAGCTCATTCACCAATCTAACCAGTGCAGATTTAAACACAAAAATCGACTTACGACCGGGTTCACATGTGATTCATAAATGTCGGCATCGATCCACACATTGATCTTTGATAAATGTGGCAGCTGAAAACAACATTAAATTCATTAAATAAGGTCAAACCTCTCAGATACTGTTTGTAAAAGTAATATTATAGCTTATATCTCAATTATTTACATTGAGGTGAAGAAAGTATGGACCCTTAGTGTAGACACTAGGACATATAATATTGTGCCATAGGCTACATATTTTTAGGTTTTGAATGCTTATGCTCTTATACTCTTATAGTCTTAATACACAGTATGGTCTTATATCAGTTCTCTGAGATGTATTTGCAGCTCCTCTTCTCACACATACTCCACATTGATAAATGCCGAGCTTTAAGTGAAAATAACCATAGGCACAGTATTCTGTCATTCATTAGTTTGCAAGTGAGGGCGATTGTGTGTTTCCAGGCATCGGTCAGTGAGCTGTACTTTCCTTTTTATTTTTTCCCGGTATCTGAAGCACACAACCGTTCCATCTGCTCCAAACCGCTTTGACAAAGTAAAGACTGCACTGCTGCAACTGTTGCTGTGGTTATGGAAAGAAGTAACTCTTAGGATATATCTGGCTTTCACAACCCCCTAACCTGGCCACAGGGTGGAAATCTAGCCAAACGGATCTTTGATTAATATAGGATAAGGTGATGAGTGTCACTCACACTGTTGGGAAAGCTCTGACCCTGCTAAGCCATTAGAAGTGCCAAGACGGAGGGGAGCTCTGGCTAACGGCCTTACAGAGAGAAGATGAGAAGCAATAGCTGTTAATTGATTCCCTCTTAAGGGTGACAAGGCTTGGCGAGGTGGAATCCAGCCCCTTTGATCAGGATGAGGTAAAGTAGCAGTCAGATGGTGTAAGACTGGATCAGACTGTCAGAAATAAATGGAGCAGAGAGGGAACTTTGTGTCAGAGCAGTCAAGCCAGAGACCAGGTTGGATTTAGCCCTTTACTGTATCTTGAGTCTGACACATGTGCTTGGTTTGGCGCACAGCCCTTCTGCCTACCGCTGCCCCTATTCACACGTACACAGAGGAGAGGCCTGATAAGATCCTCACAGATTTAGTCATTTTGTGGATGAGTCTAGACACTCACAACCCAAGAGATAAGACTCTCCTAATGTGAGTGAATTGCACAAGTCTGAAGGTTTAACGTGGTCGACTGTGTTCCTGACAGACAGTTAAAAGCCAGGACCTTCAAGATGATCTGGAGGAGTTTTGAAATGAAATGCTTTTAAAGTGTGTCCAATAAAGTTTTCATCTCTGTTGCGGCCTTCTGCGTGCAGCAAACACATCAAGTTGACAACCCAGAAAAATGCTGTTTCATCTTGGCACTTGCTTACATTCCCATCACTCCTCATCTTCCTGCTTGAATGAATGACTCTGTACATGTGTGGATATGTGTTGGATGATTGTATACTTTGTTCTGTGTGCGAGTGTGTGTGTGTGTGTGTGTGTGTGTACAGTGTGCCTTTTCTGTTTAAAAAGGAGGACGAATCCGGCCGGGGGAACTTGGCTCTTCTGTCCTTTCCACAGCCCTTCTACATGTGCAATTACATTCCTCCTCTAATAGAAAACAGAGCTCTACCCCAATCCACTCACAATAAAGAGCTACTGTTCCTTTGCCCTGTGTACTTGCATGTGTGTGTGTGGCCACAACTACCTCTTATCCCTGAGTATTTCCACTCATCTTGTCATCCAGGCTGATTCCATATAGGAAGCTGATTACAGATTGATTGGGCTCATGTTTCCCTCTAATAAGTCATGTGCCAGCATGAGGTTCTGTTTTGAGAGACTGATAGAGACAGGACCAAGAACAATAAGCATGTTGTTCAGTGCGTGCATATGCAGGTTCTCCACACTGCAGAGGGTTGGTCTTGCAGATGTTGGATGATGGCTGTTGGAAGCCGTTCGAGCAGTAGAACTGTTCGTGTTTCAACAAGAATTGACAATAAATGTACTTTTCATGCCTGGTCGTAAAGTAAAAGAGCAAAATTCAATTAAAGCATATCCTGTATCGTATGACTATTAGACATTGTAGAAAGAAGCTCAAAACTTCCAATGATTGACAGGCAGCTGGCCAACATCTTCCTTTGCCATACATAGTAACAGCAACATTTGACCCAGTAGCCTCATAATCTCACACCTGCATCTCTTTCCTGGCAATGGCAGGTATGGATCTTTGCATGTCAGTTTTGTGTCATGTCAGTCGTTCATTTGATGGGTGCAGCGCTTTGTTCCAAACTGAAATATCTCAAGAACTATTTAATGGATTGCCACAGTTCAAATGAAAATATCTGTGGTCCTGAGAGGATGAACTCTGGTGACTGGATAATCCTCTAATTTCTATTTATGTGCCACTATGAGGTTGGCATGTAGTTTTTCTGCTGTTTGATGCATTACCACACATTTTGGGGCAGACATTCATTTTACAAAGAGGATTCTTTGTCTAACATCAGGTCACAAATTTTAGTTTGCATTTTGGTTTTCATTCTACCAAACGCTCTATGCAAAACTAACGTTATTCTTATCTGTCTAGCCTGAACTTTTTGTTTCCTGCTAATCAGCAAATGTTAACATGATTAAATGCCAAACTAACATGGTAAACATGTCTAACCTAATACCAACCTTAAGATCAGCATTTTAGCATTTAGTTGAATGCATTGTTGTACAGCCTCAAAGAGCTCATAGCATGGCTTGTTTTTACAGTATTTGAAAGGGAAGGCTGCAGTAGAGCTGTAGCTTTTGTATCTGCAGCTGTTGATTTGAAAGAATTCAAACCTACGCTGGGACTGAAGCAGCCAGACTCTTAAATGAATCATTGCCTTCCTCCTTCTGTTGACGCACAGTCGGTAAGAGTAGGTTAATTGAGAGCACTGGGAACAATTTACTTGTTCACTTGTTCTCATAATAGTTTGTTATGGAGTCATGATGTTTTCCCAAAACTCTGACTTGTTCCTGTCACTCTTTTGCTCATCTCTCCCTCTACTTGCATGTCAGGACTTCATGCTGTGCTACCCATCCTATAGCTGGAAGGCACAGAATGTGGAGAAGCTCTTTCTATTAGCTTGTTTGTTTTTCATCTGAGTGCAGGCTTGTCCCAAAAGGTGTTGTCTCATTCCTTTGGATGCCACTCACTTAGAATCAACAGTAAATGCTTTATTCGTGTTCCCTACCATTACCTGAAGTGTGCATCCCCTCTTTCTAGAACAAAGCATTCAGTCATGACTCAGTCAAATAATCATTATGGCTCTTTAAGTACCTGTGTGGAGAGGTGGAACTGGCAGTCAGAGTTGAGGAATGTGCTTCAATAAAGCTGCCTTTGAATGGTTGCTCAGGAAATGTCATAACAGGAGAGGGAAAAAATAAGACGTGGATAGACAGGACAGATTAGTTTCGCAGCTGCCAGTGGCAAACAGCCATCAATACACCTGATGGTCGACCAGAGGGGTCTTTCCCCCGCTCTGAGGGAAATGGACCGTAGCGAACTGTTACTCTAAAGTCGCTTCAGAAAGTATTGCTTCATAGTTTATTGCCACATCTTACTATCCAATGTATTATCCAGAGTAAACCTTTTTATGTTATGTTCAAAAACCAACTATAATACATTTCTTTATCTTTTCATTAATCCCTATCTTATCCCTATATATCTATGTAACCAAACCTTGTGCAGTTTTTTTCAGGGCCATCCAGAAGCTATTAAAAGCCCATAAAAGAGTCATACTGTAGCGCAGGGTAGAATATTTCTTCATTATGATCAACATGGACTGTGTAGTTTGTTCTCAAACCGCTGTGTGACTGCATTTTCAATCTCTGAGCGGTTACCTCTGCGTTGGGCAGATATCACTGCTCGTTTATATGTTTTTAACAGTTGTTATACTACACATTTGGGGTTTGAAGGCTCAGAGGCATACACTATAATAAAAAAAGAGATATTTAAAACCCTTGTGTGAATCGTGACTTGTGGGATTATAAGTGGTAGTATCAAAAAAAAGCCATCGTGGCAGACTGCAGTGCTTACGCTGCAAGGCAAAAAGCAACACGTGCATTCACCAATAATCTTTCTACATATTCTATAATCAAATAGACATTTACAGGAGGGCTTTAAAGGGTCATCATAGTGTCAAGCTCAGATGGAGTGGCCCTTTATCTTTTCATCTCAACTCTGCTCTCAGTGTCTGTGAGTGACAGACTGTGGACAGCAGAGGTCTGTCAGGCTGACAGACCACCATCACACAGCCCCCACCACCCCCGCCACCACCACACTACTTACTCACTGCCAGGCAGCACCCCCTTCAATTACAGAACAAACAAGATCATGCTACACACCAGACCAGCATCACCCCCCCCATGTCAACTGACATAACATTTGTATATAGGTCTTGGGGTACAACCATGTGTAAACACACAGAAACACAAACATAAGAATAATGCAGACGAATGGAAATCAGGACCAACTTTGCCTCAGTGTAGTTGTTGTATTGATATTGATTGTTGCTGTGTATAGATTCATTGCAAATGTTATACCTCACAGACACACACACACACACACACACACAAACCTCTGAATATGACTTGAAAATACACACACACACACATAGAGTGAACCATTTCATGAATATTGAACAAGTTTTGTACGTTCCAACTGAATGCACAGCTCTGTGTACTGTGTGTCATTGTTGAATAATTAATCCTCCTCCCTGCAGTCTCCATTTGTCATAATGAACAGTTGTACTTGTGTGCACCTCTCCAAGAAGAGATACACTTTTCACGGCCACTGCCAGACGGTCCAGCTGTCATGGTTGAAGTCCAGTCTATGTTTTATCTGAATTTGTATTTTTTTTGCATGCAATGCTGAAAGGGCAACTTGAATTTCATGATGCAAAATTTCTGTTGACAGGTATGAGATCAAGTATGACAAGGAGGACTATGTGCTGAGAGTGAAGAAGGCTTCTGTCAACGACGAGGGCATGTTCACCTGTGTGGCAGAAAACCGCGTGGGAAAGCTGGAGGCCTCGGCCACTCTCACAGTCAGAGGTATTGTTTTCTGTTATTTTTTCACATTAGCCAGCCGCGGACCACAGTGGTTACCAATACAAGAGTTGGATTGACAGTTTACTCTGTAGGGTCTACCTTTACACAAATGGAAATCCAGAATGCTGACTCCCACAGCCAAGGGAGATGTAGACAGTCTATGAAACTGTTTAATTATTTACATTTCCAAGTGCGGTGTCGACACACTCCACGACCCAACCCCCTTTCGAGGTGGAATGCTAGCCACGCTACCCTTCATGCTGCAACCACCAAGTCAGCAAAGCCATTTCACAGATTACTGGTGCACACCGCCAGTCTCACACCTAGGGTTTGCAAGGTTAATAAAAACATTCTAACCATAATTTTCCCTCTTTTCACCACTCTTCTTCCCATTAAATCCAAGTGTTTGAGGTCCCAGTGGAGCGCTTTAGAGCGACACAGGGGGCCACAGGGAGGTAAAACAAAGTCTGGGTTCATTTTTTTCTTTTTTACCCTTTTTTGAAACATCTTTGTGTTTTATTTGAATATGACTACACATACAGTAACACAGTACCTCCTGGATACAGTATGGGGGTTTCAGAAGCCCTGAATTCAAAGCCACATGTTGTCTTTACTTAGTTTTTGAAAGCTTTTTTTCTTCCTCACGTCCTCTTGCGCTCTTTTTTCTGCCCTGTACATCAGCACCAGCGACAAACACATCTTCACTTGCAATTAAAAATATACTCCACTCGTAGAATTTTAGATTTCATTAATGCAAACAGAGAAGATCCAGTAGCACATTTGTCTCTAAAAAGCAAAGCGGCTGCCCCACAGGGATTTGTGTGCAATTCTGATCGTTAACCTCTAGTGGGCGCTCAGTCCACAACCCCTTTATCTTTGTGGGTCATGAGAAACGGAAGCTTTAAGCTAAACAAAAAAAAGAAACCTATCCAGTGGACAGTGGACAAAAGCTACTGAATCCTCTCTGTCATGTTTCCCTTTGCCAGACATGTGTTGACCCCAACACAACATGTCATTCGTTCTGACTTTGATTTCTTTTTTTTTGTCTTATTTTACTATGTTTGTTCTGTTCCTCTTCTGTCATTCTGTGTGTGTGTGTGTGTGTGTGTTTGTCTGTGTCTTATTTTGTTTCTTTTGTGTATCCACTCCTCCATTGTTGTGTCTCCAGCTCGCCCTGTTGGTAAGTACCCATCCTTCTGATTTGATCCCATCCTGCATGCCCATACATGTTACTGCACCTGACTGCTTGACAATCACTCACCATTGCTTAACATTACTGTGTTCTATTACAACAGGTGTTACATTACATTGTTTGCAAATTGTGTTCCCTGTTTTTTTTTAAGTCTAGTAGTTTATATTTTAGAACATCAAGTGAGCATTACTTAGTATATCCTTCAGTGTGTGAATCTCACAATATAATCGGCAGCCACAAAATATGCAAAAAAATTGTCTTTGCCAGGTGCATTTAGTTTTTTTTGTAGGTTTTTATTTTTGAAGCTGCAATGGTGATATTTTGTGTGTGTGTGTGGAAGCACCTACTGAAAACAGAAGCGGTTTTGAGTTGGCTGGTGTCATGAAACTTTGCAGATATGTAGTTGAGATCAAAATGAAGGGCATGTTCAGAGACCCATGAGTACTGAGTATCACACTACTGCCTACTGAGTTATCACTACTGAGGGGTGTTAGTAGTGTTGAGGGGTGTTGCAGCTGTTGTGGTGTCTCAAGATGGTCTAGTTATGACTCGCACTTGATCTCAACCGGCAGCTGACGTTATCACTGCATGTTTCAGTAACAACTTTCTACAGCACAGATTTATCAGGTGTAATGACTCAAAGGTTCAGAGCAGCTCTGAACTGAAGCCTCTTTAGATTCTAGACCACGTCCTTTGCAATGAACGAGTGGGCTGGCAGTGTCATAGTCTCCGACATTGTCATCTCATATGGTCCAGAATGTGTTTAACTTGCAAGTCTTGAGGCCATCTGTGGATTGTTGGAACACAAAGTAGAGATCTGTTTGTTTTGGACGAGCTTCTATCCTTTTAAGCTCCGCAACGCTGAGCAGAGAATCTCATTTGATTTCCCCACAGATGATGAAAAGGTCAAGGCAGAACCAAATCTGATACACTTAAGAAATAAAATTGTCAGAAGAAGTGAGTGGAAATGGGCGTGTGTACAGAAAGGTGGGTGCAGAAATTTAGAAACAAAAGAAATAGAGGAACATGCCGCAAACGCCAGGACAAAGAAGAAAGAGGAAAAAAAGGACAGAAGTGTCCGTCAAGACAGACTTGGCTGGCAGAAAAACCCAGACACTGCCTTAGTGGCAGGACTTTGGTTGCCAAAACAGCAGTGGCTGTTATATGATTGTCAAACTTTCAGCTTCGAAGAAGATAAAGGAAATTACACATTTTCCCTGCCTGTAAGAAAAGACAGTAATTGCTGTCGACTCCTGAATAAAATATGATTGAATGTTGGATTTTGAAGGAGGAGGTAGAAATGCCTCTGAGTGGGTGCACTGAATGGATGTCTTTCTCACTGACCATTTGTTCTCTTCACCCTGACTGCTGTTTTATGCCGAGATCTAGCCAAACCAGGCAGATGTGACTCGTCATGAATTAAATATGGGTGCCTGATCATGTGTTTCCTTAGGAGGAGACAGGAAGAAGCCTCTCATATGTCATTAAGGGTCTGTGAATCAAAACAGGGCCAGTGTGAGTTAGCCCTGAGCCAAGCTGTGAAACTGTCGCACACTGACTTCCTCTTGATATGTCTGCGTTTTTGATCTATGCTTCTCTGTTGGCCTTCTCTTCTTAAAGCATTGCCCGTCAGTATTTAATTATTTTTTAAATTTAATTTAAAAGGTAGAAAGAGAGATTAAAACTAGCGCCGCAGGTATAGAATGAGCTCAACTCAGGCCACCAGGAAAAACGAAGCAAAATACAATTAACACAGTCCAGCACAATACGACACATCTTCATTTAATTCATATCTCAATTACGAAAAATCCTCCATAATTTGCAATGAATGATAATATTTATTTCTAGTAGATTTTGTGAGATCTCACTGAACAACACTTAAGACTTTGTTTTTGACACCCAGCTGTAAACAATCATCCATACAAGCAAAACCCAATTATAAACCTCAAAAACATTCACATATGGAATTCTGTTTGACAGCGCTTAGTGTCATAAATTCAGAGGTAAGCAAAGGAGGGAATACTAATGAAAAGAGCATGAGAAAGGATGGTTCTGGCCAGCGAAGTGACAGGGCCCTCTCTGTAAGGTGTTAGACCTTATTTTTAGTCAGTAGTCAGGAGTGTATACTGTATGAGGGATAGAACAGAAGAGAGGGGAGGGAACTGAGTCCTTGCCAGAGCATGATTTAGGAGCTCTGTATCAGGCCCAGCATTGTGAGAGCCACAAGATATCCAAGCTGCAGAAGGCCAAACGGAAAGGCAGTAAATCTGTAGCCATCTGTACCATTCCCAACTGTGTGTATCTTTGACAAATACACATCCCCCAAAAAGGAATTACACGGAGAAATCAGCCAAACGGGAAGAGCTTGGCCTTACTGGAACCAGCTGGCTTGTCAGTGAAAGGACTTACAAAGAAATCTAAAGAAACAAAGAGTGCAAGATGTTGCTTTGCAACAATTCAGATTTCTAACAATTTTACAACAATCTGTAGAATTTTTTTATGTTTGTCTATAGTAAATGGCTTTAACGACCCATTGTCCGCCTCACTTGAAGTTACGGCAGGAACTTCTTAATTTGTTGACTCTCATTATCTCTGCAGGAACCATGTTTCCTCCTTTATGTGATTGATGTCTTATCTTGGCAAACACTTGTCAACACAGAACCCCCCTCAGTGATAAGTAGAATAAACAAGTAGAGGTCTTGGGTCATGCAGTAAATTACCTCAGGTCAAAGTTCAGACAATTTTAGAGTTCTAATTTTATAGCTGCAGTAATTGTGATATTATCCTATAGTTGCACATCTGATTAGCATTTAGCTATGTACAGCAGCTGTGGTGGTTTCTTCATCTTTACACAACAATACTAAATGTCTGGGCTTCAGTGCGTTTCTGAAAGTAGCTTTACTATCGGTGACTGGTCAGACAGTGGTGCACACCAAACAAGCTTGTATCTTATCTCTACACCCTTCACTCTCTAATAGTGAGCTGCATGTGTCGGTCAGCAATGTCTCACTCTGTCTGTGACTGTGAGTGTGGGACAACTGCTCTGACTCCTGATGGAGTTGTAAATTTTGACTGAGAAAGCTTCCCACTTCACACTGTTTTTTAAAAGTCTGATACGTTTTCAAACCTCTTCTCTCTTCGATGGAGAGCTGTGGCAACCAGGATCAGTTGCTGTCCCTTTCGATACAACTTTGATCAGCCACCTCAGATCTTGACTTTTATATGAGATGCATTCTGATGCAGACTAAATCTTGCATATGAAAAGTCACGATTAGCCCTGTATGTCTTTACCTGTTTGTAGTGGTGGATGTTTCCAGGGCATGGGTGTGCCTCTGTGTTGTCTCAGATCTAAATGCCATAGTGACCAAGGAGCTTCCACATGTGAATGCCAATGTGGCTGTCATTCATTCAGCCTCTGTCTCACCTGGATGAATGGCCAACCTGGTTACCATGGAAACGATAGTGATTGGTGTTCCCCCTGTGTCCAGAGCCTTTAGAGAGCAAACAGACAGATATAAAGCTGCATGGAAGCTCTGTACAGCACTCCCATTTTGATTTGACCATACGGTATATTGCTTGTTTTTGTGCCTGTAATCCTCCAAACCCTGATAATCTCCAGCTCTGATGTTTGACCTCGCTGTGCATCACTGCTCTACTAACACTGGTGCTTGTGCCCTTTGACTCCAGCTGCACCCCAGTTTGTCATCCGTCCAAGGGACCAAATTGTGGCTCAAGGCCGCACTGCCAGCTTCCCCTGTGAAACCAAAGGAAACCCTCAGCCTGCCGTCTTCTGGCAGAAGGAGGGAAGTCAGGTAAGAGCAAACAAACAGTGTGTAGAAAAAAAACACTCAGCACTTTGGATATTGCTCAGTGCTTATGATTCTCCTGTCTGAACGCACACACACACACACACACACACACACACATACACACATAAACACACATATACACAGGACTTCAATCTACACTATCTGCCATCAGTATCTGTACTACAGACACACACATGGACCTTTGTTTTCAGGAGCAGTCAAACGACAGTGTGCCAACTACAGTGCTAATCAATTTCCCGTGACCCTGCACTGATAAGAACGATCCTATCCCTCAGACAAGCAGATAACCCATTCAAATACCTGGGTGTCCTCGCACCACTCAACAACGGTGCCAATTAGGAGCCTGTTGAGGCTTGTAGATGAGCCAGAGATATGATTCAGCTCTGGCTGAGGTTCAAACACATAAACACACACAGAGGCCAACAATTACAGCAAAGTCCTCCTGAAAGAGTAAAGAGGAGCGAGACACACATGGTTACATGTTCACACAAACATTTAGTATGATACTCAGCCACTTTACGTCTCACCAATGTGTGACCTAAACACATGACTCACTGCTGAGTCATGTTGTGAACTTGTTCAGATTCATATCCAGGTCGTGTCTCACATTGTCATTAAAGATGAGGCTTTTGAAATGAATGCACTACAAACACTTTGCTACAAGCAGTTGCATGTTCGTCTCTACACATGTTTGTCTTTGTTTTTGCTGAGGCCTTCTCTGCCTCGATCACATGGACGTATATAATGTACAAAGGCATTTGTTGAGAGAACAAATTAAAGCTAATTAAGTAAAGTAATTAAATGACAGAACAGCCCTTTTCTCACTCTTGAGGATAATGGCCTTTACATCTCATGTGCTGGAGATGCGTAGTACGCAATTAAAAAAAACATCAACATAATTTGTTGCATTAAAGTGATTCGGGGAAATTGAATACAGCTAATGTATGTACTGGGCTACATTTGTGAGTGATCATGAGAAAAAATGGGAATACTAAAAGAAAGACCTTGAATAAAGTGACAGAACAGGTTAATAATACAAGATAAAAAGTAGAGGTGATGTTTTTCAGTATCATCCTGCATATTTACCCTCAAATATGTGAGATTCATTATCACTTCTTCTTTGAGGAAGGCAAGTTTATTTTGCATTGTATATTTCACAGATAAAAACAGTTCAAAGTGCTTAACATATTGCAACTCAAAAAAGGAAGGGCGGCATTATAAAACACTAAAATTAAAATGAGGAGAATATAAACCTTATTCAGTTTTTTAGCTCGGTTTATGTGTTCTCAAGATAAACTGTACAATATTCAGCATAAGTTCAACTTGTGTGGGTTGAGTGTGAGTAAACCACTGTGGACTGGAAGCAAAAATGAAAGAAGCAATGACGAGGAAAAGAGGCTTTCATAACACAGTGGAGCCTCTGGCTTGGCCCAAGAATAATTATGAAACCAAATCATCAAACTGTGGACAGGTTGTGGAGTTTGTGAGCTTGGTTAACCAAGTGAGAGATTCAGTTGCTCAGATTATAGCTCTAAGAGTCTGATGTGTGTGTGCGTGAGTGTGCAGGCGAAGAATGCGTGAGCGTTTTGTCTTTTTTCCAGGTTGTACTGGCTCCGTGTTCTCACTAATTGGCTGTTTGTTCGTCTTCCTGCAGAATTTGCTCTTTCCAAACCAACCCCAGCAGCCCAACAGTCGCTTCTCAGTGTCGCCCAGCGGAGACCTCACCATCTCGTCTGTGCAGCGGACAGATGCTGGTTACTATATCTGCCAGGCCCTGACCGTTGCAGGCAGCATCCTCGCCAAGGCTCAACTGGAGGTCACAGATGGTGAGGGAAAAACCGATGTGTAACTTTTTTCAGCGCCAGCACACTACAACACATTAGGACATGATTTAGCACCACTACAAATGTGGTGACTCTGGTGCATATGTGGATATAAACACAGATGTATATCCTCATTGCTGGTTGATTATTTCATGATTTGTCCCTCGACTAATTAATTATTTTAACTGACATATGCTTTTAACTTGAAGGTATTCAGTAGGTAGAGAGTAGTACAAATTATGTGTTTTTATTCCATGTTCAAGATTAAATACAGCTTGGGTTTAAGAAATGTGAGTGTGCCCATGACTTTTAGTTGCTTGGGTTTTTTGCTCTAATTTATTTCAGTTTCTTACCACACACAATTTAATTAAAAATGTCTTCCTTTTCTTCTGGAAAGGAAATAAAGCATTGCCCTTGAGTTCCTTCAGGTTGAATGATGAGAGCTTGGATGAGTGGGCGAGGTGCAAGTATGTGTATGAGGGAGTCAGCAACAGAAAGAGACACAGAGAAAGAGGAGGCATGTGATTCTGTTGGTGAGTGACAATGGTTTTCTGTGGAATGAATAATGTGGCCCTGCAAGGTGTGGGAGTTGTGATGGCGAGATCGACGGCCGTCCATATGTCTACCGAAGCACTTTCTTGCAGAAAGATTAAAAGCACCACAGGAGCTCTTTTCAAACAAAATTGGTATGTCGTTCAAATTCAAGATCAAATTTTACACACATACGGTAACTCAGCAACCGATGGCCAACCCTTGTATTTGTATAAGTTTTTGGATTAAAGTATTTTTTCTTTATAAGGGCTGAGGAACAAAAGCCGTGTTAGCAAGACAGGTGTTAGGCAGGTCGAAGAGGAAAACAGGGAGAGGAGGAAAGAGTACATCAGGGCCAGGGTGAGGTCACGGCCACACCTGCTGCAGTCTTTATGTGATTTACTACCCCGAGCCCTGACAACAGTCTGTGGAGTTCAAGGAGATCTGTAATGAGAAATTCCAGATCCAGGGAGTGAAGGCTTCAGTCGAGCCTCGCCTCCTCCCTCTCTCGCTCCTGCACGTCCTCCCTCCACACATGCATCAGACACATCAAGTCCGAGCCATGCGTTCGGCCATGCACTTGCATCTGTCAAAATTAGCTTCCTGTCTTCCCTTAATAAGGAAAGCACCAACATCATCACTTATCCATGGATGCAGCTCATGATGTAAGCTATAGAGTCATGAAACAAAAGTCTTCATACCCATATCATTGTATTTGCCCCTAATGTACTGATAAATTAAAAATAAGTGAAATATCATTATTGAAACTGGTGTGGCAGGAAGAGTGTCTGGTTTCTTTCTGCGTAGCTTTTCTCTTTCTTTCTTAGCTGACCCAAAGCAAGGGGCTATCATACCCCAGCATAAGTGCATCATTCGAAATCACTTCCTTTTGTCAGATGTAGCTGCGAGAGAGAAAATAGGGGTGGAACTGAGGGTGTAATAATGTGTTGAAAGGTTACGAAGGTAGACTCGGTAATTAGCCCCTGCAGGTCTGACATCATTAATCCATACCTTCTAATTAATGTGGGTTCTGGGATGCCAGGGGGACTCCACATTATTCAACTCTAAATATATAAACTGCCTGTGTGCTCCAGTGCCAAATCTCTCCGAGATCACCTCTGACATCCCCACTATTTCACAGACGGAACCCACCGGCTTTTTGTGTCACATTGTAACAAATGAATTTTTTCATGAAATGGAATTCATCACAGCATTAGCATTCATCCAACTAGAACTGAGCGAGAGCAAAATATAGAAGGTTGTGCTCTCTGATTATTGGATGTTAAGATTGAGATGGTGCTCCTCACTGTGTTTGTACCTCCTATGAATATCATGATGGGTTTTCAGTAATACATAGTTGAAATTGACCTTTTATTGTGCCTGACACTGCACATAATGGAGTATTTATCTAAACCACACTGAGTCAATGGGCAAGAGTCTCTCCGCCAAACTGTACCACAGAGTCTAGAGATGTGTATAAAAATAAGGCAGTAACTGGAAACTGCTTAGCATCCCTCTGCCACATCAATGGAACGAGAAAACGCTGCTCAGCTTTTCTTTCCCTGCTTCCTGGAAATACAGGATATGGTCATTGTTCTGTGGTGCAATTACAAGACCTGCAGAGAAAATAGTCTACTTTACGATAGGTAACCACATCCACCCCCAGTGCATTTTATGAGCAGTGCTGTCACTCAGTTTATTCTGTAGTCAGACGCCTTATGTTAACACATTAACATTAAACTTCACAGAGATTCAAGCACGCGTTCACATTTTTGTCTTTGTTCCGCAGTGCTCACAGACAGACCGCCGCCCATTATTCGCCAAGGCCCTTCCAATCAGACGCTTGCGGTGGACAATGTGGCACTTTTGAAGTGCCAGGCATCAGGAGACCCCATCCCCTCTATCAGCTGGCTGAAGGATGGGGTCAGTCTGCTGGGAAAGGACCCACGCATGTCTCTGCAGGAGCTGGGCAGCCTGCAGATCAAAAACATTAAGGTAGAGGATTCCATTGTTCTCTTGGTCCTTGTTTTCTTTGATGCAGACGCTAATCACCTCTCTATTTTCTCTTAGTGGTCAATAGCATGTATGTATCTTAATTTAAGATGTTTGTGTGATCTTCCAACACTAATGTATGCAACATTTAAAGACCGTTGTAGGCTTAAGTGTAACTTTGATGAGGTATCACAATGCCTCAAAGATGAATTGGCATCATTGATTTTTTTCTTAATTGTTTGACAGAGTCACTTAATGGCAGGACAGCTAAAAATGGCTCAGCTGGGCAGGGTTGGACGGACTCCAGCTGTGGGATAGAAACATAAATGCACTTAGAGATATATACACATGTGTGTATACATGTAAAGGCTTGGACCAGATTCGATTTAAAAGGCTCACATCTTCTTTTCCGCACTCTGAGGCCTCGGTGGAATATCTATTACGCTTGATAAAGCTGCCGACCACTGACATGTTATTTAATAAATGGAAGCAAGGCACAGGGATAAAAACCAACAAACAAACGAAGTTCCTAAGAGGGATGGAGAGTCAAGCCAGCTGTCATCGGTCCAGGGGGTTCCAGCAGCCCACCCTAAATTAATTAGCCTGGCTTTGTTGTGGTCGGCAGGACAGAGGAGAAACAAGGAGGGGGAGTGGAAAAGTGATGGAAGGGTGGTGAGTGGAAAATGGAATATATTAGGAAATTAGTGTCAGCACTTTGAGGCACTCACATATGACACACAATTTGGCCGGCACAAGGCGAGCTCGTGAAGTCGCCCCATCACTTTAAGCGTTTCAGCGGAAGATCACATATATGCAGTCATTGATCCTGCTCTCAGAGTGTGTGAAATGAAATTGTCCCATCCCTGCAAAGTGTCATTAGTTGAGTCATTAAGTTGTGGTGTGTGTTTATATGTTGGTTTTATTCATATGTGTATGTGTATTCTGTGCATTAGCTCTCAGACTCTGGGATCTACACGTGTGTGGCCACCAGCTCCAGCGGTGAAACATCATGGAGTGCTTTCTTGGAAGTCAAAGGTACAAATGGCCTCATGATTCCATGTATTTAAATACAAAGGAAAATATTTTTTACAACTCGTCACATGGACTTTTTGTATGAGAAAGTGGGTTATTTTTCGGCCTCTTCCTCTATCCCCATTCAGAATCAGGTGGAGCGATTGTCATTAAGAACCATGATGAGAATGAGCTTCCAGGTCCACCATCTAAACCTCAGGTCACTGATGTCACCAAGAACAGTGTGTCCTTGTCCTGGCAGCCTGGGATGACTGGGGCTTCACCCGTCTCATCCTATGTCATTGAAGCATTCAGGTTTGCTCACTTTAATTAGTAGCCTTGGTATGTTGTAGATCACAGATATTAATAATTCTCTCATTTTATTTATTTATTTTTTTACATGCATTACAATGTACCACCTCAATGCCTTTGGAAAACATTGTGGAATAACCCCCCTCTTCTGTTTCATTACAGTCAATCAGTGAGCAACAGCTGGCAAACAGTAGCAGATCATATCAAAACCACCCAGTTCACTGTCAAAGGTCTCCGTCCCAACACCATCTACCTGTTCATGGTTCGAGCCGTCAACAGCCAGGGCCTCAGTGATCCAAGCCCCATGTCAGATCCTGTCAGAACACAAGGTAGCTTACATTGGCATGAATATGAAAATGATAGTGATAGACTATAGTGATTGTCTTGTTTATGGAACACATGTATAGTTATTTTAGAAACTGTAATAATCACTTTCGCAGTTGGTATGTGGTTCCTTCTTTCCTGAGCACAATTTCTATTTCCACTGATGGGGTAAGGTCATTGTGCACCTCTTCAAAGTGTGATACTTATCAGCCCCTCTTGGCAATTTGCTGTGAATAGCTCTACTGAATCACTGGACAATTTTCCAGAGGTCAAATTCTCCATCTGAGGCCAGCTCATTAAGGCTACACTTTAGCAATTATGTAAAATAACCATGTCTACTTCTGCAAGGCCTAACTGAGTTAGTGCTATCCCTGCTATGTTAATGATCATAACAGGAAAATATGACTGCCTGCAAACCCAAAGACTATTTGATTACAGCACCGGACAGACCACAGTCTCCAGATTACATTGATATGATAAGTCCCCTGCAAAAGATATAATATAATAAAAAAGCAACCCGTGGCTAAGCTCTGTCAAATACAAGCCAAGAGTGTGTTAAACAAAGGAAGTGGAGTCAGTGTGAATTGCGGAATATCGCTCTCATGCTGACGTAAAGGTTTTGAGTTGATATATAGACGTGTTTATTGGCGATGGCATGCATTGATGACAAATTGATTTTTCACTTCTTTCTAACTGTGTTTGGCCTGTCTAGCCCAGTTAGTGTGGCCTGTGATTCATGATGGTCTTGGTTTTTTTTCAATGAAGCTTTTTTGAAATATAATTTCCTCTTGTGAATTTTTTGCTTTCCTTCAGTAAATAACTCAAAATGTGGTTTCCTTCAACCGCACTCAGTATCTCATACACTGGAGTTTTTTATTGCTTGTAACAGGAAACAAATGCATGTGCAAAATGGGAAATGAGCTGGAAAATAGTGTTTTATTGTACATTTTCCATCCAAAATGTGTGGGAGTCTCGATTTCAGAGTTTGTTCATCGATATAGTTGTTTACAGAAAGGTCACACATCTAAAAAACTTCATCTGCCCTGGTCTGTTTTCATTTTAACCAAACCAGACAAGTTCCGTAAAACAAAATGTAATGAGGTTTTTTTAATGCAGATGAAGTTGATCCTTTTCAAATGAGGTGAACCATTTCTTTTCTTATGTGTACATTTCTGTCTCGCTTTCTCATAGATATAAGTCCTCCAGCTCAGGGTGTCGACCACAGGCACGTGCAGAAAGAACTTGGCGAAGTCATAGTTCGGTTGCACAACCCAGTCGTTCTGAGTCCCACAACCATTCAGGTCACATGGATGGTAAGCACAAGTTGTCATTTTGTGAATATAACTCTATTCTACTGATGCGACACCAAGAACATCATTCCTCTGTTCAGCTCGAGTTTTCCCACTGAAAGAACTTACAATCATCATTCATTTTCTCTTTGATTTTTCAAAACTGAGTCATAAACTCAAAAGGTAGTTAATGTTCACATCAGATTCCTCTTTAAAACCAAAAATCTTCTCCTTGAGGCAACATTTCAGTCAGGTTGTTCCCTGAAGCTTTGAAATGTTGTAATTGGCGACTTAAAAGTATACTGAACATCAAATGGTTGAAAATAGTTTCTTTTAACCACAGTGAACATAAAAAGAAATGTCAGAGACATCTGGCTGTTCATCAATCTTCCATGTGTCTTCATCTGCTTCCCTCTTGTAATTCAACTGTATTTTGTAAATACATTTTTTTGTTGCCTTGAAGTAAAGTGATTAATCTTATTTTCCGAACAATACAAACACACATCTGCTGTTCTACCATACATGTGTACATATACACAAGAAGCAGCAAATTGTCAAAATTAGACAGGTTTATTAAATGTGAAAAATGAGCAGCTACAGCCTCGTCTAAAATGTGTTTTTTTTTATTTAATTGTATGGTAATGAGTAAAAAAGGCTATTTATATTCCTCAAAGCTCAGGCATTCACACAAAATATGTGCTTGTTTGTTCTGATTGTGGTGGTATTAATCACTCAGATGCAGGTATTTACAGTACACAACCATCACTTAGTGTTAGGGGTGCCTGATGCCATTTTCAAATGCACCACATTAGCACTTTTCCTGGAGACATGTTTATTGACCCCTATAATAAGTCTCCCCCCTGGACTTGGTGACTAATTTAATGCCGAAGCATTTCTTTATGATTGTAATGTACAATCAACACAAAACATGGCTACATAATCAATCTGGGGCCCTTTCAGTAAACAGAGGGGCCACTCTCTGTGAGCTTTTATATTCCCAAATCATTTCATGAATAAAAGTCACACACTTAGCAGGGAATCCATTTTCCTGATTTACTCGGGCTACACTGGCAAAAGAAAAACAGCTGCTTAATATCCCACTTGAAAGCCCTGCTCACTTTTTTCACTGTTAACAAGCCATTACAATGAGTTATGCACCCACTCCTCTTCTGCATAAATTCACATTTTCTGTCTAGCTAAATGGCACAAGTTTTAAGGGAGGGGTCCTTTGTGGATTGCAGGGGGCTATGACACTTCCAGTCCCTCCTTTTCTATGGGACAGATCTTTTGTTATCACCTCTGCTGCGTATTCCTCTCATGTCCCCGGGGTGTCTGTATTTGCCGCTACATGACATTCGCATACTCACAGCCCTTATTAGATGTGGTGAAGCTTGATTTCCAGTGTCACCAGTAAGTGTTTATAACACATGTGAGACATGAGGATGTCCTTTAAGGTGGAATTACAGAAAGTATTTTTAATAGAGGAGGGAACCCTTACTTTGGGGTAGGAGCTGTGTGCACGAGGTAATGGCAGGGTGTTAATTGAGCTAAATGTGTCATAGCTGGTGATAAAAGGCCCATTAAACGAGTAACAGCCTCTTAAGAGTCGTGAATGTGATCCAGTGAGCAAAATATCCTATTGTTTAATCTGGTGGCAGTCCCAGGTAATGTCAACCAATCTCCTCCAATCAGCTCTTTTTTTTGCAATGGAATAAAGACCTAATGATTTACCGTTCACTGTCTCAGGTGGATCGTCAGTCCCAGTTTATCCAGGGTTACAGAGTTCTGTACAGGCAAACATCAGGGCTGCCTTCGCCAGGACCCTGGCAGACCCAGGATGTGAAGATCCCTTCTGAGCGCAGCGTCATCCTCTCCGCACTCAAGAAAGGAATCGTGTACGAGATCAAGGTTCGGCCTTATTTCAACGAGTTTCAAGGCATGGACAGTGAATCCAGGACTGCGCGGACGACTGAGGAAGGTATGAAGAGAGAGAACTTGCTCAACAGTTAAATTTTGGTGAACGAATAAATGGTGGTGGATAATGACCCAACAGGTTGCTTTAATATTCCTCATGATATCACATTTTATACTGAGAACTGAGGGTATATGGTAAATGTGAGAATGCATGTGCGTGGATTTTCATACTTGTCTGTACGACCTTCCTGCTGTGCTTTTTTTTTTCTTGTTTATGATTGGTGGTGTTAGTGCCAACCTTCCTCTAATCCATCACCCAGCAGCCACGGGCTGAGCTGTGATTGGACACAACACATACTTCCTCTTGCGAAGATGATCTGTCGCCCAAAGCTTGATTCATACAGGCTCTGACAAGGCCACAGAACAGTGTGGCACAAAAACGTTCACACACACACAAACTGGTCTGTATTTGAATGAATTTACCTTTTTGATCTATGTCAGAAAATGCAGCCATTGGCATTACACCATTACCTTTCCTCAACCTTCAAGTCTAATGAAATTAAATATATGATTGAATCTGAAGTAAATACACACTGTCCCACTACAGCACAGACACAGGCTCTTTGTACCGGAGACAAAGCCCCTCTTGCCACAACGTGTCCAGACCTGCGTGTACAAGAGACAGTTCACATCCTGTCGGGGTGACAGACCCATTTATTTTCCCCTTCTCAAAGGGACCCTATCTCCTGTGGCCAGCCAGTGTTCCTGCTGCTGTAGTTGAACTGCCATCACATTACAACTGTCCCCAACACACACTCCCACACTAAGACATGTATACAGTAAACCCATACATACAACACACCTCTCCCTGAGGCCTCCAGAACCTGCATGTCACAGCTATTACCAATGCTGATAACACTCTGCGCTCATGCTCTATCTGCATCCCAGTCCCTCAGAGAGCTTGGCCACTTTCTATTTCTGTCACAAGGCTGCTGCAGCACCTGGTCAGCTGAGATAGCTGATACACCGTCAGCCACAATTCTTTTGGCTTCTCAGAGACCTTGGGACTACTGAGAAGGGCAGTTAGAAGAATACGAGGAGAGGTCTAGTTCAGAGGGTGATTGAAACTTGTTCGATACCTAACACAATTAGAGAATCCCCAGAACAGGTCCAGGTGGATTCTCAGGGCTCAAAAGCAGTTTCAATCCAAGTCATCTTCTCATTCTTTTTCACCCAATGTCTCACTTTCCCTCTGGACAGTCATGTCGGGACTGATGCCTAAGATGAACTCTGGCTTCAATCTGATTCCCACTGAATGATTGTCTAATAATTTTCTATGGAGTCCCATCAAATACGCAAGAAGATGCTTATAGTTTTTCACATTTCGAACCTATTGTCATTTCTAGCGCACTAATCCATATTGATGGAAGGTTCACTTCTTTCTTCCTAAGCTATCCACTGCTTTACATTAGCTATTGGCTTTTGTGTATAGTTATGTTGTTTCTCTATTCCTTCATCATGCAGCATAGTGCTGTGTGTGCATGAGAGACAGGGGGTCACATTCCTGCCTGCCATACATCACGCCGCTAATGGCTCTATTAGCACAGCCTCTGAGGACGCTAATGAAAAATGTGTATTGTTTAGTGCAAATATGCATGATAATAAGCTGCTAAATCATTCATAGCATTAACTTTGAACGACATTGTCTCTGATGGCTGCCACGCACCAATCCACCACTTTGTCACCTGGATGTAATTCAGCGGTGGAGAGCCCTGAGCACGATGGTTGATCAGATGCTCCCTTGGTAGATTGTTTCTAATCTGGCCAAGGTGCTGGGTTCATCATTGGACCCATTCATCTTCCACCATGCCAGGGCTCTCTGGCTCTCTGGGGGACTGTGTGGCCAATCGCACTGAGGGATGAGCACAGATTTACAGGGTGACACATGCCATTTTGGATGGAGGCAAGGTGAGGGAGAGGCAGCTCAGGAGTAATTGACCTGTCAGTATTCTGCTGTGGTGCCTCTCCCCTGCCAGCTACTGCGGAAATGAGAAAACATTATTTTTAAAACGTTATTTCCAGTTGGGCCAACTGTTATTTATTTTTCCTCTGTCACCCCTTGTGGGGTCAGAAGAGTGTTGCCATCAGAATAACAACAGAGTTAGGTTTATGAAAGCTTGGACTTGTCTTGTTTCTATACACTCTCCGTTTGTCTGTGGACAGAACTGATTCATTTAGATGAGCTCCTCTGTGAAGGGTCTGTCTTATCCTTACCTACTGGCTTTAGTTTCATCTGGCTGATCGATGGAATCCATCAATATGTTTACTGAGACCTTGTTTCCTTCCCCTAAAATGTTTTTTTTTTCCTATTTCCCCCTTGTCTGCGCTTCATCCTATAAGCTTGTTGACCTACGTGCTACCATGGCTGGGTTAATACTGGAGACTTAGCTTTTCTGAGAGCTCTTGTCTGACTGTGCCAGGATGTCATTCCACAAATCAATACCGGTATTCTTTGTGCAGCTCCACCACCCCAGAGCAGAGGGTGAGATATTAAATCATAGTGAAACGTTAAAGATAGGCTGCAGCCATGTCAGACCTGCCCTGGTCCTCATGCAAATCCCTCTTTTAATGAGACATCTTGACAGCCTTCAGGCACCTGTGCCATCCCCAAAGAATTACATTCCTTGGAGAAGTCTGCGTGCGTGCGTGTGTGTCTGATTGTATGTATGTGCATATTTCCGAGCTCTAACATATTCAGATGTAAAATACTAATGTGCATCCCAATTAAATACTGTGCTGCCTGAACTGTAAAATAGTATATTTGATAGTTGACCTGGTTATCTTGTGTTTCCACTTTTAGCTCCCAGTGCCCCTCCTCAGCAGGTAACAGTCCTGACTGTGGGAAACCAGAACAGCACTTCCATTAGCATCTCCTGGGACCCCCCTCCATCAGACCACCAGAACGGCCTCATACAAGAGTACAAGGTTTGTGCTCAGCAAGTCAGCATTTACTTTCATTTCAATCACACAAAGCCAAATGAAATCAACTGCATATCTTTTTTTCTCCCTCTCCGCATTAGATCTGGTGTTTGGGCAATGAGACACGTTTCCATGTAAATAAGACCGTGGATGCAGCCATACGCTCTGTGGTGGTGGGTGGGCTGCAGGTGGGAGTGGTGTACAGAGTGGAAGTGGCTGCCAGCACAAGCGCGGGGGTTGGAGTCAAGAGCGAACCTCAGTCTATCATCATCGGTAAGACAGATTGATATAAAGCATTCAAAACATTTTAACTTCCAATTTGTTTTTCCCCATGGTACCATCAGTGTTCACATAAAAAAACACAGCGTTCCAGTGTTACAGGATGAGATCAACAGAAGAGGAAACAGTGTGAAATCCAAAATTAATATTATTGTTAAAATACTACTTTTTGAAATGTGGCGTGACCACGTGTGATTTATGTGGAGCTGAGGCAGATTGTGCCTGATTTGACCCATAACTGATGGCTTGGCCTGTAGCATGTTCTTATTTCCCCAGTGTCACTCACATAATCCATCTCCCAGAGCAGAGCCCCAAGCTTGCAGTTATAATATGTTGTGTGTTTGCAAGTCTGTGGATGTGCGATTGGTTCTGTTCATGTGGTCACACAGTAATACGATAAAGAGCTTTTGTTCATCTTTGCACTCATGCACATTTATTATTTTGAGTTTTTGTTTTGAGTGTTTTTGTTCCGGTTATGAGGGAACATTTGTTCGTGCTTCATGTCTCACCGTGCTCCGAGACATAGTGTCAAGCAGACAAGTCAGGGTGAGCTGCGATTGGAGATCAATACAGACCAGGATCCTTTCACATGGTGTGTTTTACCGGCAATAGAGTGAATTAGGGGCTGAGCTAAGCAAACAACTTGCTCATCTGGGGGTTTGTTATAAGCTTTTAGGCTTTGTCTTTTTCAGTCTGCACATTATATTTCACTGCACATCCTGTAGATCCTGTCCTGCTCCCTTTGTCAATATCTCAGCTGAAATTCATCAGACCTACTTCCTTTGAGCCTAATCTAGCCCTAACCCTGCCTTGATGCATCTGTAGGTGTTATTTTCTACCGAGTGAAAAAGTGCAACACTCTCCGGGCCTTTCGGCATTATATGGGCAGCTGTCTTAACTTTCACCTTGGAGCAGCAAATCATGCACAGCAGCATTGTTATTTCCTGTTTCCCTCCAGTAGCTATCCGCCCAGCATCACATTAACGCCTCCTGTTTTTCCCTGTGCCCTCAGGTAAGGAGTTTCGGGACGTGATTATACATGGAAACCGGAACAACAGCATCACAGAGCAGATCACTGATGTGGTGAAGCAGCCTGCTTTTATCGCGGGTATCGGTGGGGCCTGCTGGGTCATCCTCATGGGCTTCAGCATCTGGCTCTACTGGAGGAGAAAGAAGAGGAAGGGACTGAGCAACTACGCAGGTCAGACTGATCATAGTCACCTATGCAAATTGCTGCTGACATTCTGCTCCCCTGCCTTAGCAAACAATGGGAAATTGGTCCACTACTCAAGAAATAATTATGTTTTTCTATATCAAAGCATGAATATTTTACCACTTCATTAACACTGCGCAGTCTTATTCAGCACAGATTTAATGGAATACTGTAGAAGCAGTGCGGTTGAGATGGCTGTGGTGTCAAAAGCTCAACAGGCAGACATATGTCAGCATGAATCGTATCCACAGTTCTACAGTTTTTGACAAATCCACCCACTGTGTTGGTTAATAGCCCAGGGTGGTCGGACTGAGTGGGCAGACTGGACTCTGCTGGTCACTGAAGCTGGAGATCGTCCAGCTCTCCTCCCACACACTGACCCTGACATCTTACTTGAGCGACCCTCCAGTCAATACTAGCAACCACCAAGTCCACATGCACTGCCAAGGGTTCAAAATTTAATTAGAGAGCAGAAAATGGTAATGAACTGACACGATTTCCTGTGTGTCTGTGTCTGTGCAGCTTCTAACATTAGTTCTTCTATTATTAACAAGCAGAAATTCAAAAGAAGCACACATTTATGTCGTTATTTTTTCAGGTAGAGAGTCAGTGTCGGCTAATAGAAATTTGCTTGGTTAATTTTGTTTTCATTTCTGTTTGTTACATGTGTTTTCTTTGGTTTGTGCCACCGTCTCTGCACCTCTGTAGCCTCTGAGCTGGCTGCTTTCCTGCCTGACGCTCTGCACACGGGGTGACAATGTGGTCTTACACTGTCTGACCCCCCCCAGCGCCTCTCGACTTGGCCCCCGTCCCCGGTGTGCGGACACCCCTAAAGCTCTGCTTATCTCTGCAGGCTTTTAACGCACAACTTCTCTGTCTTCTTGTTTTGCAGTTCAGTCCTTCACCTTCACCCCTGCAGGTACTGTTCATTTGTCCCGTCTCCTCACCCAACCTCAACGCAGATCCATCTCCCGCCCGCTTATAGTATATGTGCTTGGATTGTCAGACTGATGGTCATGGCTAATGCAAATCCAAACCATATACTAATGAAGATTTTAAACCCGACAGAGAACCAAATTTGAAAGTGAAATGAATCCACATTTGTTATTGGCCATGACCAGGGCCCCGCAAACTTCAATTCTTATCCCCGCCCAACTTTCCGCCTGATTTACATGTTGTGTTGTATTTGTGTGTATGTTTGTTTATGAATGAAGTTTCATCCTGTCTAGTTGCATCTTACTTTTTTTTTCTCTAGAATCATTAAATCATTCTAAATCTAAAAGACGTATTTCTGTAGGTGTGATTTAGGCAGCTGGGTGGTTGATCAGATTTTGTGATCTTGTGACAAAGGACTGTCACCTGCTACTATGACTACATGCATTTGGCTGCCTTGGCTTAATTTCCTTATCGTAATGGCAAAGAACAGCTACTCTGTTGGTCACTAGCTGTTCTATGCTTAATAGAGTGGCACCTATAATGCACAAATCATTCTATCTGCGGATAGAGTGGATTCAGTCAATAGCTCCCAATCAAAGATACTGTGTTTTCAAGTGCATTGACTTTTCAAAAGAACGGTTAAATTAAAATGATTCCTTTGTTCTGGATAATATCAGTGGAACTGCAGTATACAGGGTCAGGGTTCAGCACATTCTTCTTTTTATATTCCCTGGACTTTCTAACCATCACTAATAGGTTTGTGTTGTTAGTCCCCATGGAAATGATTCTAGCCTTTCCAACACTATAACAACAACATTCATTATTGAACATGAAAATGTTATATAAACTTGTCTGGGTTTTAATTGAAAAATCATGTTAACTCACTAAAGTAGTTTTAATAGGTGAGAAGGGTAAAATATTGCAGGGATAAAACAGGTGAGGTGATATTTAGAACGTGAGCCACAGCACGGCTGAGGAGTCCTGCAGTGCTGCTCTTCTCTATATTGACAATTAGTTGATATATCGAGAGTGTCTTGTTTCAGCCTCCTGTCAGTACAGGATAGGTAAATCACTACACTGCTGTGGCTCACAGCCAGCAGGAAAGAGATTTGATGGAATTTTTATACGCTGATTATGTCCAACCCCCCCTTAATGCTTATTAAAGGGGATTAATCTGTATTCATATTGGAGAAAGTGCTTATCTGGAAGACAGAGGCGAAAAGCACAGCTGTGCCGCCATGTCACTCTGGCTAACATGAAAGTATTCCACAGCAGCCTAGAAATGTGCCTGAGCACAGATAGCGACTTCAGAGGCCTTCCCGCTGCCGAGTCTCCCCTCGCCTCCACCTCCTTCTCCTGTCAGTCCTCTCTGAGACGACGGAGAATTCTCTAACACAAGTTTGTTGGTGGTGGAACAAAGACAAATGGCTTCAGCTATGACTAAATAAAGAAACTCAAGTCTGTCTCAAGCTGTCAAAGCTGCGATGTATTCACACAACCCTGCAATGTTTGTTTTATCTGAGTTAAACTATTGTTAGCAGTAAGCATTTTAATTCCAGTTGCTTGTATGCAGTTGCTTAAATCTGAATGCAGTAAATAAACCCTAAACTGTTTTGATATGCTTGCTAGACAAATTTTGAATTGTGTTTTTCTCGCTTAGAACTCAGAGGAAATTGGATTAAGTAAGCCTAGGTAGTGTTGATGATGCATTAAAATGTCCTGTTAGCAGCCTCTGTAATCTATTGTGGGAGTTTCCTCTCCCTGTCATCTGCAGTACAACGTCACCCACAGAAAAGCCCCCTCTCTCTCGCCCATGCCTGGGCTTGTTGTGGAATCAACCTGAATGAAACAGAAAAGAGAGGAGGAATGCTGCCTCCTCTCTTTAATCTCCATCTGTGGAGCACATGAGCCAAATTACTAACAGCTCTCCTTCTCTCTCTTGAGTAAACCAGCTCTTTTTTCCCCAACCCTCTCTTTCCCTCTCATTGGTATGAGGTGATTTCCAAAACTCTTGCTGCTCCTCCGTGTTCCCTGTGATCCATTGAAGTTCTTAACATGCTTAGAACTCTCGGTGCTGCTTTGTCATCACTTTGGTGAACGGAGATGAAATAGATCTTTCAAAGCCGTCGCTCACTTTGAGCCACGGAATTTCGCCAAACCACAGTCAAAGAGCGGCCCTTGTTATCAATACATCACTGTAATGGAACAGGTCACATGCATGGTTTCTGGGGAGCCCCTGCAAGCTGGAGCATCAGTAACTCAGCCACTGCACTTCCAGATAGAAAATCCAATGTGATTAATGAGCCCTCTGCCTTTTCTAATCATTTTTTGGCTGAGAATTTAATCTCAAATCTGATAATAACTCAGCAGCAAAACAAGAAAGATGAAATGAGTTTTCCCTCTCATCAGGCATCTTGTCCTTGAGGAACACATGACATCTCCACTTAATGCAAAGCAATATGCAGTCCTCATCTTTGCACTTTTTTTTTTAATTTTCATGAAAGGCATTGGATGCAGAGAGACATCCGCAGCCCTTACTGAAACCATTAGCTATCCAGCTGTGTAAGAAAAGTGAACAGATGAATACATAGCTGCTGAAACACGTGGGGAAACAGGGAAATACTGAAAGTCCATTGTGTCTTAATTATGAAAATAAATCCTGCTTGTTAGTTATGTATACTAGAAAATTTAATATCTGGTGTTGCTTTTTTCCCTCCATCTTTTCCCTCTTTCTTTCTTTTCTGTCATCAGTGACATTCCAGAGAGTCGATGGCGGTCTGATGAGCAATGGAAGGTGAGTGTTCATCCAGAAACAAAACCTAACACCAAACTAGACCATCAATATTTGAGTGTAAAAAATCTTCCCATCATTACTATCTTTACATGCCTTTACGCATTTCCTCCACAGTCATGCATCACCTCCACCGCAAGCTGCTCTTGATTCTAACACTGATAAATGACTGATAGATTGATAGATAACCGATACCTGTTTGTGTGCCGACCATGCAAACCAGCGTGCAAATGTGCGTTTCTACCACATCTCCATCCATGCATCGACAGATGAACTCATAAATCTCCTCCACAGAATTAACAGAAACAATTTAAGCAGAGAGTGTTTTTATTTTGTCATCTATCTTCTGCTGCTGGCTAGAGGCAACCCAGAAGCCCTCTGGAGTGATAAATCTGCCTGTCACCTTGCGTGGGCAGCTGGGATCTGAGCACATGTAATAATGTAAAAATAATTACCCAGGGGAGAGGTGTGTGGAGGTACCCCACTTGCACCCCCGTATAGCCTGCTCCATCTCAGTGTGTGTTAGTGAAAGAACAAGGGGCTTCAGAGAACAGGGCACATCTCAATGACACCAGTTACTGAGCCTTTGTGGGCATTTATGAGACTCCCTTGAGAATCATGTGCTTCCGCCTATCTACTGCTTATCACACCTGACTAGGTAAAACCTCCTGGACTCAAACACTCAACGATACACCGCCAACTAAATCTGACCCTGTGTCTCTGGGCTTTTGGGAGTTTGTGCGCTCTGCAGTCTGGCTGCAATATTTTTGTATTAATGCTTTTTTTTTAAAACCCCTTTTACTCCGTGCATATGACTGGATGCCACGATAGACAATTTTGCCTGTATTGTTCTGTGAGCTGCCAGCAAGCTCTCAATGAATTAGCCACGCCATTTGTCGTGCCTTTTTTCTCATCTACGTTCTGCTGCAGTTTTTCCTTCAATTTTCCACATAAGTGCTTCTGATTCTTAGTCCAGCGAATAGGATTTGAAATGTCTGTATTTGCGGTGCTTTGTATTTGTCATATCTTTAGTCAGCAGCAGCGACTGCCACAATTTGCACAGCACTGGAATAGGATGCAGTCTGGAGGACTTATTATAACGCGAGCTTCTGATCCGTTAGTCACTCTAGTGCCATCGAATCCCAGATGTTGCAACTTCCCCATCTGCCCTGAGAGTGAAAATATGTAGCACAGTATCAGAGGAAAATGTGTTCATTGGTTACATGAGATGTTTATTGCATTAATTAGACAATAGCAAATGAAGCTGCGTCTGTTTCCACTTTCTCATTGGCTCCTGCCAAATTGCCCTGACTGAACAATTACACTTAATCGATCACAAAATAAATGAATCATGGAAGATGAATAGGCTGCAGATCGGTAGGTCTGGACGATTTGATTTTGGCTGCTCAATTGAAATTGATAAAAGCCGATATGGGCTCATTCCTTATCCCGCTGCCAATAGGGAGATGGTAATTAGGAGGTAGTAATAACTTCCCATCTCAGCACTGATCAATATTTTAGCAAAGCAGATTCACTCCTATAGGCAGAGTGAACAGGTTTCACTGACACTGTTGCTATGGAGATTTCTTTTACAATCCGGGCTCTGAATGCTAAATGACAGCACGTTCCCGAGAGTTAATCTAGAATGTAATCCAGGTTTCTCATTGCTTTTAGTGTTAGCTAATGTCTACACCTCTAATCCATGTTCCATTCACTAGTCTGTGGGACCATAAACACCTGATTTACGAAGTTGCTTTGGAATTAATGCCTCTCACTTGGCTTATTTATGGGAAGCTCAGTGTCGGGGTCTGAGGCTGTATTTATGGTTTCCTACCCATCACAAGGAACTGAAATGTCTAAGAGGAAGCGCTCCAAATCAAATTTTATCTGCCAAGGTTGCTATCCATCCAAGTTAGGTGTCAACTTTTCATTAGACATACGACCCAGTGTCCACCTCCTGCCCGTTCCCCATTACTACACCATCACACATACACACACACACACACACACACACACACACACACACACACAACAAATATCCCCAGAAGGAATCAGTCTTATTCTAATTATCCTTTAGCAGGAATTCTGCTGTGTGATAAATGCAAGGACGATGCAGCCATTTCCTCTGTCAGCTCCTTGTCTTTCAAATGGTCTTTCTATATCCGGGCTGGGGGAGGACGTGCTGGAGCACACAGGGGCAAGTGAGAGCGGCGAGAAGACAAGGTCATGGTCTTTTATTTTAGACCGTGTGCATTTGTGATGCAGTCTTACTGGAGTCTGTAAGAGAGACAATGTCCTCTCTTTTTCATCTGCTTTTAGTCTGACAGATGCTAAGCACACAGGAGTGGTGCAAGAGGGATAAAAAGAGGAGATGGAGGTGTGTTGGGGGGGGTGATGAAGAGAAAAAAAGGGTTAGGGAAAGATGGTATGGCAAGAGAGAGAGAGAGAATGATAACAGTTGGGAAACATTGCAGCGAGAAACAGGGAGAAGGATGGGGAGAGATGTATTACCCTATAAAAGTGCATGTGTCTGATGCACAGCCATCAATTTGAATGACTTGTCTCCCCCGAGGGCCTGTTTTGGCATTCAGGAACCACAGCGAGGGTTCTTAGCTTGCCAGGGCTGCAGTTCATTTGGATTCCCCCTGCTGTAGAAGCTCTTCTCATTTAGAACCTGTGGCTGAGGGAGAAACTGACTGCAGCACGCCCATTACCTGCCCTTGTCCTCAGGGCTTGACTCTGTCCCAGTCCCTCAGAGCCAACACATCGCCCCAGTGGAGCTGAGACAAAAAGCCCTTTCAGGCAGCCAGGCTAACTACTGTGTTACACAGACTTTCAGAATGCACCAGTCTGTCTGTGGTCTGCTACATACAGCACTGCCGGGCACTGACAGCGGGATGTGCTGTGTTTTTGAGAAGGCTAAGCCATCCACTTCATTACACGTGGTGCTTCTCTGACCGTTGCAGGGTGAGATTTATCAGAGAAACTGCCCCTCAGTAAAATTCTGCTAGTGGGTCTTTTGTCTGTTTGTATCCTTCCTCTGCTTCGTAAACTAGTGGTTATACATATTTTAATTGATTCCAATGCTAGGTCATTAAAATTGATTCATCAATGAAACATAAACAACAGCATTTAACACAATTCCATCTGTATTTCCCATGGTAACGAGCCTCAGACGTGATTGTACAGTAAAGTGGCCCTAATGGCCTCCCAGCAGTCACCCATGACAGGTTAAAGTCTTAATGGCTGCTTTTTATGGTCCTCACCCCCTCAGGAGGGACACAACACCTGTTAAATGGAGCTGCCCTCACCCATATGCAGGCATCCCACAAGTGGGTCGGTGCATCATGGTGGGGCGAGGGCTGAGGTTTGACGTCTCATCAAATAAGATTTAGACTGTCTGGACATCACAACAAGGGGTTGATGGGAAAACACAGCAGAATGCCGGAGATATTAACGAATGACGGAACTATACATATGGGTGTCGACGTGCATTGCTGCACATGTGTGCACAGAGCAAATGTATGCATTAGTGTCTCCACGGTGTGCTTTTGCATTAATAACTCTGAGAATGTGACAAAGACCCAGCAGGAGAAACAGAGAGATAAAGGGCTGTGTATGCCTGAAGGAATTTGACTCTGTGAGAAAAGAAATGTATCCGTACAGTTCTTGCCACTATCTCAGATGTGTTTCATTAGCTTCAGAGGCTTATGGCAAGCCTATCTCAGACAAACACACATTCCTGTGCACAAACTAATATTTAAACATATGTTTCATTGTTTTTTGTCTTCATATTGCCTCTCTGCTGATTGCTGTCATGTTTTTCATCTTTTAATTCTAAATCCAGTAGCATAATGCTGAATTTAACCATGCATAATAAGGAATGAGGGATGTTGTTAGTGCAATAAACTCTGATAGTAATGTCATTGCACAGCCTGTGTTTAATACTGTGTTTTATCTTGTGTTTCTGCACAGCCGGCCGGGACTGTTGAATGCCGGTGACCCAGGCTACCCCTGGTTAGCTGACTCCTGGCCAGCCACCAGCCTGCCTGTCAACAGCAGCTCTGGGGGACCCAATGACCTGAGTAACTTTGGGCGAGGAGGTAAGTGCCCTGGTGCTGTCCCAGGCGTTTTATGAAAAGACTGACAGAGATAAAAGATGATGACCTGCGTTCCTTCCTGTTCTACCATGAGCTCCTGTTGTTCATCATGTACATGTATGCATGCGAGATAGATACATAGAGTATATGCAAATTCCATGCATGTTTGGATATACATTTGTATATCACATCAGGGGACAGCTAGAGCATTAACAATGGGGCCGCCACTGTCACCAGGCTGAGTAATGGCAAATAGTCCAGCTTGGTGTCATAGCCCATACCTCAGAGCAAGAGAATGCGAGGGGAGAGACAGGAAGAGGAGCAGGGGGTGGATGGGTGTTTGAAAGGATGGTGTTGAGCAGCCAGTCGTGAAGGACAGGCGCAGCTTGACTGGCGCAGATGCGGACACTTCCGCCATGGCTCTACATCATCTCCCCTTCACTGGGCATGCAAACCAGGCACTACGGAGAGTCTGCTCGCTCTCTCCCTCCCTTCCTCTGTCATCGCGCACACATGCAGAGCAGCAGCATTGTCCCTGATGTATATGAACAGAGGATGGAGGGAGTGAGATATCCACACATGTAGGGGGGAACAGGGCTCCGTGGAATACATAAATAATGGAATGGTTTTTTTTCATTGAGATTTTGCTGTTAAGTGCTGTTGCTTAAGATGTTCGCGGACCTGAATGCACCAGGACCCAGACTGTAATTTCATAAGTGTCAAGCACCCTTTATCGGACATGCACTTGGATAGTCCTGTTCTCTTCATCTGCCATAAAAACAAAACGATTTTGATTAAGTGCTGCAGGGATAAAGGTGAAGTGAACCTTTTTTAGAAGGCAGCTTTCTTATATTTCCTCCTCCTTTGTCTTTCCAGATATCCCCACTGGTCAAGGGGATAAGACGGGCACCATGCTCTCTGATGGAGCCATCTACAGCAGCATAGACTTCACCACCAAAGCCAACTACAACAGCGCTGGCCAAACATCCCAGGCCACGCCCTATGCCACTACTCAGATTCTCCACTCCAGCAGCATCCATGAGCTGGCTGTAGACCTGCCTGAGGCCCAGTGGAAGGCCTCGCTCCAGGCCAAGCAGGAGATGGCCAACCTGGGCTACTCCCTGCCCGACAAGAATTCCTGCAACAACAGTAAGTTATACTGAGAAAGTGAGCGTGCCAGTATGAGGTTTTTTGGGGACACTGTTGCCCTCATGTGTGGGAGGTTTAGCAAGTTTTATACGATTGTGTGTCAGCTATAGAGCCACTATTGTCGTCCAGTGACATAAAAAACATAGTCATTTAACCGAGTTCTCACACTACAAAGTTTACAGTTGTAAAAAAAAATGGTCATTTAGTATTTAAACTTTTCCACCCAAAGACTCTGAAGCCTTTTTAACCCGGCTGCGGTGGTGGGAGGCTTCCTTAAAAAGACTCATTTTTCCTCCAGCAGACATCAACTTGGTCACTCTCCAAGGTTGAATAAACATCTTTTGAAGGAGAAGTACAGTTTAGTCATCCATCTCTTTTCTTGCTGGGTTTTCATGATATTACCACTCCTTCAGTTTCAGAGTAATTGCCAATCTGTTTTAACTTGAGTAATATTTTGGAAAAGGATCCAAATTAATTACTGTGGATTTAATATGGGACTTTTAAAGCAGACTGGAGCTTCACACTTAAGGTGTGATGAGCATTCCTTGACGGTATTCTAATACATATTTATGATCTAATTTTCTAAAGTCTAAAATGGATTATTTATAGCTTTTACATAGTCCCCTCTCCTCATGCAAAGGATCTTTAAGAACTCATTTCTAAATCTCCCTGGCATCATTTTAAGAAACATGATCCCGACTTATTTTGTATGACTCTCTCTAGAGGGACATGAATTAAAATCTCTAGCATTCACTCATGTATCTATGTTTTAAATGAAAACAAAACGTAATTGTCCAGCAGATTACTCTGTTGCCTAAAAATCCCACAGTGAATGAAAAGTGTTGAATCACTCCAGCCTGTTAAGTGTGTGACTCCTGAATATATCCTGCTTGCTTGATGCTCTAACTGCATGTTTGCATGTGCTTGTGCTAAGTGCCAATCACCTGATGCCACTCTGGTTTTTGCCCTTTAACCCCCACTGTAGCCCTCCTTTTCATTCCTGACTACCGATTGGCCGATGGATTGTCTAATAGAATACCACACAACCAATCACAAGATTTCAGCACCACCAGCTCTCACAACAGCTCAGAGCGAAGCGGCAGTCTCTCAGGTTGGTTTACGCAGTGGAGAATTTTGCAAAGTAAACTGGGAAACTCTCTGGGGCTCTGCCGCTTGATTTTATGATTGATGGGTGTCCTAATTGCTTCATTGATCTGTTATTTGCATGTACAAACCTGACATCAAACATTTTTTCCTGCGTCGTCCCTTTCCTTCACCAGAGATGCTTTCCTCACTCAGCTCCCCCTGCTCACAGTGCATTACATCATGTGGTTATTTTTTAACTAATATGGGGTACTGAGTACAAATGCGATTACTGTATGTAGTGATTTTGTGATATGGGATCCGAGCTGGACATGAGTTACTGGAGCATAAAAAAGCAGGACATTTAAATAAGGGAGAGTAGAATAGTGCTATGAGCTCCTGACAGAATATTGCTGCAAGTGCTAATCCTGGGTTTCTACCATCACTGCTGCTCTTTGTTAAGGCTTTGTCTCTCACTGTGTGACTGAGAAGATGGGAATTGGGGCAGAGGGAGTCTTTCAGACGGAGTGGTCTATATACACACACACGCCATTAGAGATGCTTGGCTGGGTAAAGTGGCAAAAATACCTCCCTTTTTCCCTCTTCTACTAATGGTCACCGACTACACTAAAACCTATGTTCAGAGAATTACAATGTCATTTATAGGACAGCCCTCTGCCTGCCTCCCCTCTACTCTCCTCTTTTATCTAGTTACAAGCCACTGCCTTAACTGGTCTCTAATTCAGTGCTCCGGCGAACAGTCGGCTGGAGAGAAAGATGTGAAGTGGCCGTGCCTCACAGGCAGATCCTTCCCATAGACACTCAGGTTAAGGAAATCTTTTGCTGGGCTTAGCACATGCTGTATTTTGAGTTCATGTACTGAAAATTAACATGGAAACACTAATGTACTGTAAAATAACAGCTTTTAAGTAGCAGAAACAGTTTCCTGGCTAAACCTCAAGGTTATTGTCACAAACAGATACAGGAGTGGCATCAATCATGGAGATTCTCAGCGAGATATATTAAGATTATTTTCTTAAAGAATTATCTTTGGTTTATTAATTTTCACTTATACTCAGATAGTAAAAATAATATTGTATAACATAAAGGTTACTACAACCTCATTCCTCAGCCAGGACAGATTGAAATATCTATCCATTATTTATACCTCTCCTGTTGAGGGTGGAAGGAGGGCTGGAGTTGATCCAAGCTGACATCAGGCAAAAAGGTAGCAGAGTGAAATAATAATTCAAATGTGTATTAATAACGCTATAAAAGTGAATGGATTAACATAAACTATGATATTCTTCTCTATACAGAATAAGGGATGAGCATCAAACTGAGTTTGTGACTGTACTGACTGACTGTATGTCTTCTATATAATGCACTGCGTGTTATATACAGTCTGGTGCAACTGACAACACAGATGAGAATTTGAATCAGCACAAGCTAAGCTTTGATTCAGACCTCAGCCAAAGTAAACTCACCATTTGAAAGGGAGAAAAAAGTAGAAGTTGCAGAGTCTTGCGCTCCCTCCGAGGAGATGGAAAGAATAATGAATGTCAGGTCTGAAGGAGGGGAGCGGGATGAAAAGGAACTGAAATAGAGCGGCTTTTATAGCAGCGTGGATCTCCACTGGGGGCATGAAGCTGCTCATTAAAACCTTTCATAGTGTAAGGGGGAAGATGTAGCTGGTGTTTTCTCTAGGTTTTTTTGTCTGTTTGAGACCCCGAAGACTCCCCGTTCCCCTCCGCCCTCACTCGCCTGACTGTGAGGCTGCAAAGTCCATGATCATGTGCTGAAGTCCGTGGTTGTGTGTGAACTGATGTGCTCCTGCACCTCCTGTATCTGTTGCATCCCACCTCATCATGTCACTTTTTTTTAAATTAAGATAAAACATGATGATAGATGACTTTCAGTTGATTTATCCTCTTTTGAATTTATTCACCCACCCATAAGTTACTGGCTGCATATTCCAAGTCTCTGCTCTGTGGCTTCCCCCTCAGCACTGACGCACCCAATGAAAACAAAGCAAGCTCAAGGCTTTGCAGCCCTACAGTTATAGGCTGGGGCCGCCCAAACCTTGGGTATAAATACCCAGAGCTGAATCTATATTTAGTGTGAGTTCCCCTTTGAAGAGAGGCACAGTTTTGTCATAGGGGATGGCTTCGCTGTGTAATTCCTGTATAGCTCCTAGCCACAGCCTCTCTCTCTGTATTTTTCATATTTGGGGTGAGCTGTAATAATTCCAGTGCCAGTCAATCCTTCCCTAGAAGAGGCTCATTTACAATATTGATGGCTGGTCTTGTGTGGAGAGACTAAGGATGATTGAACAATCACGTCAGCTCACCATTTATTGGTAAAAGTCAAGCGTCGCCCAGAGGTACAATTAGGAAACCCAATTACTTTCAGACTATACCTACACTGTAGCCGCCTGCCTTGGGCTTACAGTTGTTTCTTTTATCACTTCCATTCTTTATTAATCTCATTCCGACTCCTCTTGTATCTCCTCGTGCCGGAGATTTCTCTCTCTCCTCCGTGCTCATCTTAGAAGTACTTTTTGTCTTTCTTGCTGGAAATAGATTTTAAATTGTAATATAATGAGAATTTTCTGAACTTGAAATATACAGTGTTCATGACTTCTCTGCCATCTGGCCTCCGTGACAATCAATAGACATGTACCTCATTGCTTCTGTAAGTTTCTTTCGATGACAGCAATGTACTTTTTACGGCGCTTGAGTCAAATCCGTTTATTAAATTATTAGTCTCAGTGCATCACGTTACATTGCACAAGATGCAATATTGGCAGCGTTTTTGTGGCACTGGGGGCAGTGATTACAGGCCTTTGGCAGGGAAACCTAACCAGCAGATGACAGATACAAATGTGTTCAGCAGAGTTTCCCAATGATGGCTTTCACTTGTCTGTGTGGCCGGTGACGTCAGCATGAGGTAGTTTCTGGATTGAGATGTGAGATGTTTCTGCCAGCCACAAATGTATTTATATATATATGTATATATATATGCCAACACTATGTAACCTTACTTCCCCCATATGCACAGAGGAAGGACATAGTGCATATATAGAAAAAATAATTATAACTTGGCGCTCAAAACGAATTGTGTGGTATAGGGTTGCACAACTAAAAAATATTGTACTAGTCCAGTGTTTAAACTTATTGTGTAAATACAATAATTTTATGGATGGTAAGAGTTGGCCTCTGTTACATCTACTTACAATTGTCAGTAAATTCTTAGATGTACATTATATAAGGAGAGAAATTGCTTTTTCCCCAATATTCTTTTCATGAATAGAAGTTACTGTTTATATGCTTTTGAATCCAAACCTTGTTTGAGTTTGTTTTGCTTCTGTGTGCCTTCAGGAATATATACGTATACTATATATTCCTCTTAAGTTGAAAATGGATTACGGCTTGAAGCCAAATGTGTTTTAAAGAGGAAAAAAAAAAGGTTTCTTCCGCAGTGACCAAATCGTATAAAACCCAGTATTGACCTGGCTGGCAGATTTATAAAGATGGATGAGACAGAGGAGAATCGGGTGTTGGAGGGATATGAGTAGAAATGGATGGGGTTAGCAGTACTCTGGTGTAATAAAAGAAATGAAAGTAGTAATAGACTCTCAGTGAATTCCATTAGGGACACACTGACACTACACAAGCCATTCATTATGATGATGCTGTGAAGTGAGATATTTCATTGTGGAGCCCAAAGCCTGGTGTGAAAGGGGACACTGAGGAATGGGTGGAGCACAAAGGTCCGCCTCAACTGCGTTTACTGCCATTCTCTCCTGTTTCTATGGAGATTTGAGGCTTTTCAGCCAATCAATCAATAGAGGCACGCTTTTCATCAGGAAACCTTGAGCTTTTCTGTGGAAGCACTGTGACAGACTGAGAGCCCATTAAAACCCTGTGTTAGAAAATGTGTATGACTTTCTAAGAGTATGTTGAAATTGAGTCCAAATGGATCTGTAAATAAGATGCTAAACCAAATTGAGTTTCTTTAGAATACATATCAAGTGTTATTTGTTTTTTGAACCCACTGGTATATTAGTTTTTTTAATTGGTGCTTTTCTACAATTTAATTTTCAACGATTGTTTCTCTCAAATACATCCTCTCCTTTTGTAGGCGGTAAGGGAGGAAAGAAGAAGAAAACCAAGGCTGGCTCCAAACCCACCAAAGCCAATGGCTCGAGCTGGGCTAATGTTCCCCTGCCCCCGCCTCCTGTTCACCCGCTTCCTGGCACTGAGATGGACCATTATCCCAATGAGCACCATGAGGGAGGAGGGTATGTCTACTAGTGATTAGTACTAATACACATGTGAACAGATAAATGTGATTTAAACAGTCACAATTATACAAGTGACTGGAGACAAGTGACTTTTAGTTATTGATCATGATCAGATATTGAAACCTGAGACGTTGCATAGCCTGACATTTGAGATAACATTAGGAGCCCTTCTAAATGTTCATGCAAAAAGCATTTGGAGTTTTTATATTATCAATCTAAATTATTATATAAACATTTTGTTTTCAGATAAACTCAGACTTGAAAGAACAAGTACAAATAAGAAGTGAAAACTTAACATGAAGCAGTAATGACTAGATTTCTTTGCCGTTATTGTACATTTCCCTCTAAGGACTACAGAATTTAGTGTTTTGCTCTCTGGAAAGAAAAAGACAATGCTTGCCAATGTGCACAACACCACACTGTTGTGTGTAATAACAGGGTTCAGCTCTGTTTTCTCTGCAGCTAATTACTGTACTACTGTACATCTGGAGAAGAGAGAAGGATCAACATGTTTGTGTGTGTAGAGATACACCACCAGATACACACACATCATCTCTTACACACTCTCTCGTAGAAAAACTCATATGCAGATGGCTGCAGATCAAACTATTTGCTAATCCTGTTTTCAGTCTATGGGATGACTTCCTGACTGGAAAATAAATGAAAATAAAAAAAAAAACATGTTCGAGCCGACTCCTGCTGCTACTCGCGTGTAGACACACAGATGGTTTCAGATAAATCTATTTGTTGAATTCCACTATTGCAGTTGCATTGTTTCATAGAGAGAGAAGTGGCAGACAGAGAGACAGATTTATCCACCAACTGAGATTGAAATAGACAGTAAGGCTGTAGAGTGCTAATCCATGTTTGAATGTGCTTCTTTAATTTGTATAATATCCAGAACCCTAACCCTAATTGACTTTTTTAAGAACAGCCAAGACACCAACAGATAATTTGTTTGTAGTTTGTAGAGTACAAATTACTTTGCAGGAATAAAGTAGCAGCAGCTTATTTAAGTGTCGTCATGTGTCTTTGGTCCAGCAGCTACCAGGTCCTCTTACGTCCCATTTCCAATCCGGGAGAGTCATCTGCTTTAATAGTCTATCTGGCAAATGAAGAGTCCAGTGCACTGTAAATCTGAGGCTGCTCTTAATGGCACCAGATTAAAACAGTTGATGTCCTATGGAGTGTGCAGTGACAAATTTCTTTAATGAACATTTTCTTTATGACCAGTATTATTTCAGCATGTATAAGCACAGCTATATGAGGAAGTGAAGCCTGATTAGCTCTGTAATCCCACTCAGGACACTCGTATAACAAATTCTTGAAAAGGTTGGACGAGGTCACAAAGATCTATTAATGTGTAAAAATTCCTCCTAAAATATAAATTATGTTATTTTGATAATACCACACATCTTATTGTTGTTTTGTTTTTGTATTACTGCTGCTCGTATTTCAACTAAAACTAACTGTAGGTCTCACATCACGTAGATCCTTACTTTCCTTCACTGAATCTGATTGTGGTTGGTTTTTGGATCGGGGAACTGAATACATATCTTTCTATATACTTTTACATTTCCTAATGTTTTGTATACAATATGAGTAAAAATTGGTGTATTAGTTAATAATAAAGGTAAGTGATGAGGCTGAAGAACACAGTAACTGTGGGAATGTGTACAGTAAACATCTCCTCTCACCCCAGGTATGAGAGTGACGGTTGGGGACCGCCCATGCCCGTGCAGACCTATCTTCATCAGGGCATGGAGGATGAGCTGGAAGAGGAGGAGGAGCGGGTTCCCACCCCACCCATACGAGGAGTCGCCTCTTCCCCGGCTGCTGTGTCTTTTGGACAGCAGTCCACAGCCACACTTACCCCTTCTCCTCGGGATGAGATGCAGCCCATGCTCCAGGCCCATCTGGATGAGCTGACCAGAGTATACCAACTGGACATGGCAAAACAGACATGGTAAAGACTGTGATATTAAAACAGCGTGGACAGATTTTATGTATCAATCAATCTGTCTGCATATCTATCTGTGCATCAATCCCTCTGTGTTGAAGGATTTATTGTCAGGGTTGATAATAGATGTTGCTGTGATTTTAAAATGCTTACTGTACGTTCTGTCCTGTGTGTATTGCTGCCTGGATTTATTTTGGCCCTGCAGTATGTCAGCTATGTGTCAGCTGTGTGTGCACTCGAGATATAAACCCATTTATCGTACCATTTTAATGGGCCCGCGCTACCACTTAGGTGGCTGCTGTATTTTACTCACTCTAAGAGAAACAATTTAGTATCCAGTTGGTTACTACTCCTACACCTATATAGCGAATTCCATTGTTGTTGCGCTCATGCAAGTCAGATGAAGACCATGCTTCATCCTGTCTGCACCGTAGCATCCAGCATTATGGCATCCATTCATAATAGTGAAGCGGTGCTGGTGGTGGGGGGGTTTGTCAGGAAGGGTTGTCATGTTACCCAGTAATGACTATGTTGGTTAGAGAGCATCGCTGACAACACCAGAGGGCCGGTAATTACAACCAATTCCCACTGCAAACTGCACCAAAGACGCTGCACTCTCCGAACAAACGTGGCTGTCAGCAGAGTCGGCTGCCACAGAGGTGACTGCCATGTGTCGACAGGCCGGGAGAGCGTGTCTTTGTACCGTCTACAGCAGCAATTAACAGGTCATTGTGTTAGCATGTTCGTAAGTGGCGCTGAAGAATAAGTGGAATTTTGTAGATTTATTCAGCACTTCCTGAATGAAAGCCATCACTAAAATGAGCTTTACATCGCCACATACACCCTCATATATATATATATATATATATATATATATATATATATATATACACACCCCACCTTGCCACATAATAACTACTGAATAATCCCTGTACTCTCTATATTCAACTCAACTCCACATGCCTTGATGTATACTTTGAGTGCACACCAGCAGGATAATATGGTCTCTCTTTCTCTTCCCAGGCACATGCAGGGAGGCTCCCTTCCTCCTCAGGCTCCAGCTCCTCCAGTGGGCTACGTGTCGAGCACAATGGTTTCTGACCAGGAGACTGACCTGCCGGATGAGGAGGAGGAAGAGGAGGAAGAGGAGGACGAAGGCTATGGAGCCAGGCATCCCCGCGGCATTGAGCACACACCGGGGTCGAGCATGGACAACCTAGACAGCTCTTTAACAGGTAAGGTAGACTGGATATTGAATTGTTACTATTGTCGCTTCTTTGTTGATTGGATGATTTGTGTTTATTATCATTGTGATTGCTCTGTGTTGCACATTTTCGATCAAATACAAACGAATTCTAGTCACTTTGACTGGGTAACTGTATTCATTTCTCCTGTTGTTTATACAGTAAATGGATAGTTGTTCATGACATGTTTTCCATGAGACTACTACATATTCATTTTCAGGCATGCCTACTGAGTGCCCCTCATTCAAATTTTTAAGCACTTTTGGTAGACTCTGGAGAATTATAATTATCATTTCCCCCAAAAAAAGAGATAAGGAAGTCCATGAATTTTAAACAGGATAGTGAGTGGGAAATTAAGAGGAGGGAGAAGCAAAGCAAGCAGGGGAGAGTGACTGTGATTGAACCAGAGGAACCCACATCGTCCTGAGGAGTTTTGAAATAAATTTCACGTGCGGCATATATAGAGGCCCCATTTCCATTTTTACAACTCACTGAAAACTTTTACAGCCGTCTGTCGGGGGGGGGGGACACATGAAGGGCATGACATTGCAGCAGCAGAGCCGGGCTCTGGACTGCTGTTCTCTCACACTGACCAGGCCACACTGTCCATCTGTTTACTAGAGGTGGTAGCTGTTAAAATGTGTGACATGTGGCCATCATGTATTTTAGGGACAGGTTGTGATACAAAATGCTGGTGAAGCGTAATCCAGTGAGTGTCTGTCAGGTCTTCCATCAGTGTCTGTGGATACTGAAAAATAAAATCTATAACGGGAAATGTATGTGTGGAAAGAAAGTTGGAGTGAGCAGAAAGTAAAGCTGAAGGTGGAGGGAGTTGAGAATAAGAGGGTTGGCAGTGCTTCTTGTAGGTCTTCCCTGTCAGCAGCAGACCTAAAAAGTAGTTTTCCATGGGATGATGGAACAGCGGTTTTGGTAGCGCTGACACATAATACTGCTGATGTATTTAGAGGAATATAAAGCAGCAGCTGGGCCCTAATCTACTGCATCTCTCCGCCACTGTATTACTCTGAAGACAGCACTATTTCTTCTTATCTCTCTGAGAGTCTGCCTCGCACCCCATCGTTTGACAACACAGACACAGTCCCAGCTCCGGGGTGAGCTGTAGGAAGAGAGGGAGGATGGGGGAAACCGCAGAGATTTATTACGGCCACCATTTTGAGACTGTACAAATAGGGGAGGGTGGGAGTGAGATTCCTGTCAAGCCCTGCTCGATAGATTTGTCATTGTTTTAATCATATGGAAATAGGTCTGTTTTCATAATGTTACACAAAAGGCCAGTAAATCAAACATTTTCACTGATGCTCCAGAAAACAGAAACAGCTTCGTCCTCTGGGGCCATTTTTCATCACAGATTGTCTGCACAGGCCGATGTATTATTCTGCGTGGGGGAAATTATACAACACACTTGTTTGTCCAGATGAATGTAAATCCTGATGTTGGTGGGTGCTGCACTCTGGCTTGAGTCAGAGATGAAGTGAGCACATAGGTGATACCCGGCTCCCTGTGTAGGAGGTACTGGTCATGTAACGCTAAGATGTGGAATAGCAGTGAAGCTGCTACTCCGACAGTGAGCTGAAAGCGAAGCTGTTCTGGGCGATTACTCTCCCATAAAGCCATACCAGGTTTGTGAGGAGCAGGGTCACGTCTCCTGACGGCAGGTAGAGACGCCTGCTCATCACAGGGAATGATTCTCCTGCTTAATGACATGCAGATTAGGGTTTCCGTCACTATTAATCAGTTTTAGTGGCAGGGGGGACGTGAGCTGGGATTTTACTGCCCCCCCGACCATCGCCCGTTTACTGGCCTGGCTCTGTCAGTGCGGGGAGCACGTCTGGGATCAGCCTGTGGTTTTTAGAAAACATGGTTGCTCAGGTTCAAGACATGATAAAATGACTATCATAGGCTGAACCTATGTCTGGAGCATCTGGAGAAAAATCACATTTCTGGGGGGGGAATAGATTGAATTTTTTATCAAATTCTAATACAATGATCAGAGTTTGATGGACTCTCATTCTGAGAATAAAAGTGCTCCAGAGGTTCAGCAGTAGAAAGTGGCAGGTAGTACAACAGAAAAGTCATTCTGTGATGTGATTTGCTGAGGCAGTGTTCCTTAGCTGAGCCGAAGGAGTTGGAAGCCACAGTGCTTTGGCTCACGCGGCCTATACTTCATTATCTGCTCTATTCTTTGTGGGAGGATTGGACCCAGTGGAATTGCTGTCTTTCTTTCTTGAAGAAAAAAAATCTTGGAAAAGAATTTCAAAGAAAATTGCCAGACAAGATGGAGGGCTCAAGGTAGTTAGAGCCGTGGAGTTCAGTTAGCGGAATAAAAATGGATTGTGTAAGGAGCTTTTCTACCTTATGCAAGCTTATATTTTATAGAAGGTTCCAATAATCTGAGAGTATTTCACTGCATTACGAGTCAAAAATCTGTTGCAACTTCAGCTGTTGAAGGTGCAACTGCCTGGAGTCACTTCTTGTGACCGAGTAACCACCTCTTTGAAACATGCCATTAAAGCGGAAGAGATTTACAGATGGGGAAATTGGACAAATTCTTTAAAGGGGACTTCCCAGTGTATCTCAAAAAACAAACCACAAAATTTAATTTCCAAGAGGTGGGAGTGTCGTCTGAGAGCAAACACTGCAGCTGATTGCCTGGTTGTGTTCATTTGAATCTCTGAACCCAGCGAGCCATCATGGATTAACCAACCCTTTATATCGCACTCACCTTTTAATTAATCCTGCTGCTAACTTTTTGTCCCAATCGCTCTGTCTCAACAACCTTTACCCTCACACCACCCGCAGTTCTCTGTTACACCAGCCTGTTCAATCACATCACTCTTGTGTGAGGGGGAGATTGTGTGTGTGTGTGTGTGTGTGTGTGTGTGTGTGTGTGTGTGTGTNTGTGTGTGTGTGTGTGTGTGTGTGTGTGTGTGTGTGTGTGTGTGTGTGTGTGTGTGTGTGTGTGTAGAGCACTTGGGTTCATGCCACTTCAGCAAAGTCTGCCAAACCCGTCCCACTGAAAGCTGTCACATTAGCTGACTATTCTCTGTGTTTTTGCTTTGCTAAAGTGCCATATTTTTATTGGCAGGCTGATAGTTTTATATTTGAAGTGCTGGTCTAGCTTTTTTGTGTTGGTGGGGGAAAAAAAAAAAAATCAGACCATGAAGAAATAATTACAGTAGCACAAGTATACAAGCCAACGGTCAAAAGTTGTACAATACATATACTTCTCCCTTATGTCTCTGGCAGCTTCATCAAATAGCTGATTACGTTTGTGTTCTGATAGATTGAATCTCTTTGAAGTAGCATGTGAGCAGAGGTCTGTGTAACTACAGCAGCTTTAAGTGAAATACCTTAATGAACCTTTCACTCAGTGGTGGCTGTGCATTTCAAACAGCAATAAAACAAACTCCACCAGGTGTTTGATTCAGTACATTGTTTTGTGAGAAGCTTCATCTGTGTCACCTGAGGCTGTTGTTGAGCTCACACAGCTCCACACAGGTGTGCTCATGGTTCTTTATAAAGAGAAGAGTCAGTTGATTTGCTGTTGCTTCTCTTGTAAACTCTGGTGTGTGTTTGTGTACCTTATTTTGTGGGTGGGTGGGTTGTGTGCTCATGCGATATATGTTTTGCATGTGGTTGTGATAGATGAATGAGGGCAGGCCAGAACAGAGTGAGTACACAAAACTACCCACCTGCAAGAAGAGAAATGCCCTGCAGCAAATCTGAAATCACTTAAGTCTAGATATTTATATCATCTCTAACATCTGTACGATCTATCTAAAGTTCCATTCATCTAAATCCCAGCACAGATGTTCAGTATGGTAGATAAAATATCCACTGAGCAGAACACGGATGGTGGTCGGATAGAAACATTCTGAAATAACCAAATACACAATACAATACAAATCCAAAAAACCTGTAACCTGTGGTGTTCCCCAGGGTCCATGGTGAATGGGTGGGGCTCAGCCTCGGAGGATGACCGTTATTTCTCCAGCCATAGGTCCAGTTTGGGCAGTTCATCTGATGGCTCCATCTTTACCCACTGCAGCTTTGCCCAGGCCCTAGTGGCTGCTGCAGACAAGGCAGGCTACCGCCTGGAGGGCACTAGCCTCAGCAAGAGAGGTTGGTGTGCAGGGGCCAGCTTCCCACTGCTGGACTGGAACCCCTTCCAGCGGCAGATGATTTGTTCTTTTCTGCTCTAATTGTTCCCTCCTGTCATACACTGGCTGGTGTTTCCCACATTATGCTGCCTTGTGATTTCCTCTCCCTCTGCTGCTTTTGGTCACTGTGCCCAGGTTGTGCATGGGACCTGTTGTTTATGGCTAGACTGCGGGCATCTCCCTATCCTTTACCCTAACTCAGCCCCTGTATAACTCTGCTGACTCGGACTCTGACTTTGTTCTTGCTACATATTTATAGGATTCTACCAGTGGGGTTTCTCTTCTAATGAAAATCTTCATCTTTATTTTCTAATAGGTTTTTGGATCTTGATTAATAAAATCTTCTATTTGATGACAGCCTCAGCTCCACTCTGTGTTGGATCCTCAATGTCTTTATTAACTAGCAGGCTTTGTGGTCCATTATCTTTCTTGCAGGTAAAGGCTTGCCCCACAGGCCCCGGCCCAGCAGTCCGTTCTCAACAGATGGCAGCACAGTCGGCACACACAGCTTGGGCCACCAGAGGGCCACCAGACCCACACGCAAGCCCCGAAGCCAGGGCACAGCACCCCACCGGAGAGACGCTGGTGCAGACGGTGAGGCAGCGACTGAAAATACATTTTAAATAGTTTAAAAATTCTTGTGAACTGTGTGTCATGTTGACTAAGCTACAATTTACATATAATTTATGGATTCATTTGATTTACTGTGGGTTGCATTGATACAGACCTACCTCCTCCACCTGAGCCTCCTCCCTGTCAGGGGCAGAGCCGTATCCAGGGGGCCCGCAGCGTAAGCAGCATGGTGCCCCCTACAGATCGGAAGGCTTCTTCTCTGGAGCGTCCGCCATTGTCAGGACCCCTGTCTGGGCCAGAGGACATGAAGAGCTCCATTGACAGACAGACACGCACTTCTCTGGAACATTATCGCCAGGCTCAAGACAGGCTGGGCTCCATGGACCGGGCTGAGGATGGACGCAGGGGACACAAAACAGGTACATGTGAAACAAAACTGAAGTCTGTAGCCATTTAAAACACACATGCTTATTAACCTGCTTACGTTAACTTGTATGTTAACATGGGTATAGTTGCGATCGCTTTCTGAATCAGCGAACGCATGTTAGCATTCTGTTTCAACATTAGCTGTAAGTCAGTTGAGGTTAACAGTAACGTTGTCTAGTGTGATACAGTTTGAGACTTTGATCAGCTTGTGGTGAAGGAGGAAAAGCCTGGAGATCGCCAAACTTATCCATTCTTCAGAAATCCTTCCATTGTTTAATCTGAACCAATCTGGCAGATGCTGGGATGGACTGAGGAGTGAATTCACTATTAGAGCCATGCGTCTAACATGGCTGCAAAAAGTTTGTCCGTTATTGTAGGCTTGTGCACTCTAGTTGTATACTAAGAAATTACCCTTTTATTTATTATAATGAACCCTGTCAAACAAAATCTGATTAAATAATTTGGTTTACATAAAACTTAGCATTGCCAAGCAAATGTAAACCATTCTGCTGCACCTTCTAAATAACACTATCTGATGATCTGAAGTGGACATTTTTTGTTTTGACTTGAGAATTTATTTGAGTAAAGAGATCATTTGTTTAGTTAGAGCGAGATGATAGGGTTTTTCTACTGCTGTGCCTTTGTATTGAACAATTTTTCTCTGAGTTCTTGTTTTGGAGTTAGCTTCCATGCTGTGTTGAGACCAGGCTCCCATGAACAGATTGCACTGTCTGCCACTTGCTCTGGTTTCCAGAATGCCCCCCCCACCCTCCCCAATGCCCCTGTAACTGTTGCCAATATTGGCTCGCTCTGCTCCAAGTAAGGCAGGAGGCCCTAGCCACTGAAATGCACTCTAATCGCTTCAGCTTTCATTTTTCACACAAACAGGAGCCACTCTACACCCCATCTGTGTGTTCATGTGAATATGCATGTGCGTTTGTAACCATTAAAGATCTCCATGCTGTGCACCCTGTTCTCTTTGAGCCAGGACTTCCTCACACAGTTAATTTGAGACTGTGAGACAAAGACAGGTGCCACAATCAGCATCTTTACTAAAAACCCCATAGGTAAATTCCCATAAGTGTCATATTGCTGACTGATTCACAGTGGCAGCTACTGAGGTTGGGGCAGGCTCTATTACAGTCATTAGCAGAGCAGTAGGGAGCAGTTTGATGAGATTTCATGCAATGACGGAGGCTGCTGAGGGTCAATGTTATGCTGCCCTGCAGCGGGGGGTGCCACGGCGGCCAGTGGTCCCTCTGTTATTGTATTTACCCCCTGATAAGGCTGGTAGCTGCAAGGCCATGTGTGAGGCAGAGAGTACTTTCTGTGGCACACCCTGGCTGTGCCTCTTGGCACCGCCATTCTGCAGATGTCAGGAGGACAGGGCTGTCCAAAGTGCTCTTTGTCCCCGTGCATCAGATGTTAGATGTTGTTCCACCACAACAATAAAAGTCACGTGATGTCTTTACTTTTCAAACTCAAACAATGCCTTCCGGTCCCTCTGCATGTGTTTTTAGAGGAAGGGTGCCTGCCATACAGTAAACCATCGTTTCCCTCCCCTGGTGGGCACAGCTCCTCCGGCACAGCCTCCTCCAAGGGCTCGACAGGGCCACGGAAGACCGAGGGTCCACGACAGCCACAACAATGGACCGCCACAGAGCACGCTGAATTCCTTGGGACCAATGGACAGGGACAGTACTCGGGGGAGTTATGTGAGTAATTCAGTCATTTGATGTTTTACAGCAATGTTTTTTTATGAGATACGGTGAAATAGGTCAGAATATAGTATTCATCTGATTCATATTCTAATAATAAAATGACAATAATGATATACAAACAAGACACAATATGCTATTTGGTGCTTCAGAGGTGTTTTAGCTGTTCACTTATATTTGTTAAAATGGCTGTAAATTAATCCCCTGCATTTTCTTTCAGTGTATTGACAGCTATTATAAACTACAAATAAACTCCTTGAATTTGGCATATTTGGACAATAAGTTTTATTTTGATGCTAAGCTAAGTGAATCAGCTCCCTGCTCCAGAGAGACTGTGAATGAGTCTATTGTCCAAACTTTAAGAACATTTGTCTTTTTTACATGTTTCTCACAGAGTGATCTGCCTGGGATGTAAAACTGGAGGAAACTCAGTCTGTCCACGAAAGAATGACGCCCTCCTTGTTGGGGCAACGAACTTTGTCCTCACCTGTGTGTTCTCAGAGGGAAGGAGTGCAGCCGAGGGACCGACAGAGAAAAGCAGTGTCACAGAACTGTAAATGTGATGTATAGACACAGACATACTGTACATCTCACTATGTTTTCGTCCTCAAGAAAATATTTTCCACCTCCTACCTTACTTTGATTTTCTTTTTGTTAGAAAAAGGCAAGTTTAACAAAAAAAAAAAAAGAAAACATATATGAGAACAAATTTTCTGATAACTGCCCTTGCAAAAGAGGGAATTCTGTTTCCTGTAAATATATTCTGTCACTTGTTGTTGCATTGCTATGCAAGCCTAATTCAGTTTGAGCTTTTTATTTCCATATACAGGAACAGTTGGTTTTATCTGGTTATTTGTATTATATGTGAATTGCGTGGCTGCCGTGCCATAAAATAATTGTTTTATAATCCATTGTTTGTTAATAGTTACAAAAACATAGCTCCTGCTGACATGAAGAACCGGAAGAATATGTGAAGAGGAGTTTCTGTACTGTAAAGAGAAGAAAACTATATACTAATGTACAGAGAGATATTAAAGAGTAAGGCTTTGCTGATGCACAGCAACAGATAACGTGCCCATTTCCATAGTTGAATAATTGGGTGGTAGACACACAAGGTTCCTGAGGCTCTGAGGAGCAGATACAAGGCTGGAAGAATTATATGCAGACAATACTGTATTTATTACTGATGGTGACCGAGTTGATCGTGTAATTCCTAATTTGCTGTTTGATAATAATTGTTTATCATCAACATTCAGAGTTTGATGCTTTGGGAGCATTTTAGTTCCGAGAGAATGTTGTGTTCTTTTCTTTTTTTTTGTAATGGTCTCCAAGCATTTCAAGTTTATTTTTCTCTTGTGATTTACTGCCTAAATAATTTTAGCCGCACAAAGTTTACGCTCCTCGTTCGGCATAACGGCGCACTCACCATAAAACAGTCAAAGGGAAGGAGGAGTCGCTGGAATCTGTCGCTGTAGCTCAGTCATAGCACTTACAGACAGATTTATGATTCTTCTCAGGCCTTAATAGGTAAACACACATCACAGGCAGAGGGAGGATTTACTGTGATCGGTATCGATTATACTGCCAGATTTACCTAAAATATCAGTGGAGCAATATCATTTGTTTACATCTTTTTCCTTTTTTTTTTCTTTAATTTCCATCCATTTTTAATGTTTGCTTTTTAGAGCACTTATCGTTTAATGTTTATTATATGACACTGTACACGGTCGCTTAAGAAAACAACACATCGACCTGTTCAGTTCAGCTAAGTGCTGTTAAATTAAGATGATCTGTTAAAGCAGTAAAAGAAGTTTGGTGCCTGAGTTACCAAAACCCGATGATCAGCACAGTCACGTGTCAGTAACTTTGAGGGAGAAATGGTGTGTGTGGGATTGTAGCTTTGAGTTGGTGTTTGATCCCCCCACGGCCGAGTGATAGCAGAGAAAAGCCTTGTACATTAACTAGCAGGTCGGCTGCTTCATGTCTACAGTCACAGTGTGGAGCAGAACACTTTCTATCACACACGTGTCATCTGCCCGACTCCTCAACCTCTGATTCTCAAATTTTTTATCGGTTGTCCTTTATTGATGAAAAGCTTGTTTCTTCGTATGCCTTTTAAAAACTCAGAAACTCTGATTACAACAACGTTTTTAATATTACTGTTTCAGGATTTTTGTGGTTCGATGACTGTTTGTTTTTGTCTTTTTTTGTACTGCTAATGTTGATAAAAGGGGGTGGAAACTAAAGGCCGTCAGATGCTGTTGTACTGTTGTTGTCATGCCATCGTCATTTTATATCCTCCACCCAGTGGCCAGTTTTCTGGAAATGAGGTGCAAAGAGTATCTCAGGTTATTTTACATTCTGGTGGTGTTTATGTATGTGTATATATGTGTATATATCCATATACATCTCCACTTGATTTTACCATTCCATTGTCATTGACAGAAACGTCCCTCTCACGTCTGATTCTTTCATCCCCTCTTTTTCTTTTCTGCTGTGGATTTTGATTCTGAGTATAATGTGCTGGTTCAGCCACCTAAAGACAAGATGTCAGTTAAAGAACATACCAAATTAAGATTGATATTTCTAATGTCTAATGCGTTTTAGTGTCTCTTTAATACTCATTGTTTTCTTTTAAATCACAGTGTCGTTTTGTATTTATTAAAATGATAATAAAAGTATATTGTGAAATATGCATAAAGATTCGTGAGATATAAAACGTGTTTTTTGTTCCTTGTAAAGTTTGCTGTCAGAGCCGAGCAGCGAGGCCATAAGGAGATGATCGGCACACTGTGCTCAGAGCATGGTGAGGTGCCGGGTCAGTAGTCGTCTAAGTCACTCTTCGTCCTGCATGTTCACCACACTGCTCCTCTCATGTCAAAACTAAAGAAACTAAACACCTTTGTGAACACATGAGCCAAAAACAATTGCTCACAATTTGCTTGTCAAGACAATTGAGAAAACGTCTTTTTGGAAGGATGAAAGTACTTTGGCTTTCCCTCTCTTTTCATTTTCTCAATATTGTTGGTTCTTTGTAGCCTATCTGTGTGTTGCCTTTTTGCTATAAAACAAGATTAAAAATGACAAAAAGATCAAGTTGTTGGGTGAAGTCTTTCTGTACAGTACGGGGTGAGGTGACACCTCAGTCCAATGCCATTTCTAAGGTACAGTACATTCTGCCTTCTTTTTTGTTTCTTGTAAACCACCTTCTTTATTCACTTGCATGTCCTTGTCCAAGAAGAGAGTGGATCAAGAAAATAAACTTTTACAGTCTCATCCCCATGTCCTGTAAGATAAATCCATGTTCCTTTATTTCCTTGTACCTGGATCAATATCAAATAAAATATTTTTGAAAAATGAAAAATGCCTGAAATGATTTGTATCTGATAGAAATGCTCTGCTGCAGCCGAATTAACAGATCCAAACTACTGACTATAAATAAAGATGGACGACATGTCTCTCAAACAAACGGAGTGATAAGAACATCCTAAAATAACAGAAAACATCTTCAAGAAAAAACATTTTATTTGCTAACCTGGAGAAGTTGGGATGATGACCTTTACTGCAGATAGCCACCACGTCTTCCACCTTTCCAACAGTCTATGGTCCAATCTGAATGTGAAAAGTAAAAAAAAGGAAACACATTTAGATATAAGAGTTGGTAGCTTTACCACAGTAGCCTACACATACAAAGTGTGTGTGTGTGTGTGTGTGTGTAAGAGCTCCTGACTCAGCTGTGCTTTTCATGTGAAACAGTCCGTATCTTGATCCCTGCACAGGAGCAGCATCAAACACAAATCTGCTTAATCACTCTCACACTTTCAAGCTTCCTCACATGAAGCTCAAAGGGAAATGACTCGTGAAAGAGACCATGCAAAACTGTATAAAATAAGAAACAACTATTGTGATCAGAGGAGCAAATGTAAACGAGTGGTTGTTCCTCACCTCCCCACTAAACATATTCCATATTATCTTTCTATTCAGTCTTTCAGTCTTTCTATTGGAGCACTTGACACACAGACCACACACGCGATTCCTTGTTTCCCAAGCAAGCAGTGAAACGTGTGTGTAGTTGCTGTCGTAGTGAATTGTTCATTGAGCAGTGTGATGTGTGAGATGACCTCAGTGTTTTCCACATAATGTGAGAAAAGAAAAAAAGAACAGTTCTCACCGTCGTCTCATGATTCTGGGCCGGTGGAGGACACGAGGTTCAGTCTGTTGGTCTCTGCTGGTGTCTGATGTTCCTCATCATTTGTTTCTTCAGGGAATGTTAATGACACTGTCCGACCTCCCAAATGATCTGAATGAGGAGAATAAAGAAGAAGTTGTTGCTTCTCTGGTGCCCATAGATTTACTCCTCACCACAGAAGGGCTGTGCAGGATTTGGACGTGGGGATGGAAACTCTGCAGCTGGAGCCGTTTCAGCCCCTCCACATGTTTGAGCGCCAGCTCCTGAGGGGAGTCTGCTGTCTGAACGCTACGTGGAACTAATAGGGCTTGTGGCGAGCTACGCTCTTGTCTGTGTGTGGTTTGTGGCCAGATGTTTGGTGTAAATGACAAATTCAAGGGTGCAGTTTTTTGTTTTTTTAAGTACAACCTCTTGGCTGGTGTCGTTGGAGTCACGATCCTGCACATTCAGACAATAACACACTGGTGTTCTGTGTTTGGAGACGAAAAAGTTATTACTTTGTGCAATATTACAATGACTCACTAAAGCATCATCTAGCATCATCTCTCTCCTCACAGGTTTATTCATAATGCTCAACATATACACTGGAACCATGATATTACATCCCTTTGTGAGGTTGATCCTGATCTCAGTGTCAAAGCACCAGGTTGAGACTCAATGAGGTGTCATCTGCCCTGCAACAAGAGAGCTCCTAACAGTTACTGGTAATGATGTAACTATCTAATGGCAATACAATGTTTATGTAAACAATCATGTCTCATTTTAAATGAATATCCTGCAGCAGTGACTCCAAACAGCTCTGTAAGTGATTATTAAATCGATCTCTACCAACATCACCCTCAACAGATAAGTGGACTCTTCCATCACTGGACTCAACTGTTAATGTTAATATGCACCTTTAGTCAAGGTTTCGTAAATAAGAAGCTTTTTCTCTTTTTCTGCCTTGTTTTTTTTTATTAATTTTGTGAAGAAATAGTGTCCAAAGGTCAAATATTGAATCTTTTCAGGTTAAGACTTATACAACACTAAAGGTTTATGAGCAGAGTCCAGCAGGAAGATGTCAGGCTGCGGCTGCACCTGCCTACATGTGGTGGACTGTTCCTGGAGAGAAAGGTGAGTTCACTCTGTTGTTGCGTTAATGTTTGTTAATAGCTAATTTAATTAAAAGAGAGACCGTTTGTCTGGCTGTATATTTACTGGAGTCAAGCCATTTTTTAGTTTGGTGGCAGCTGCAGGCGTCTGATTAAAGATTTAAGTGACTCACCAGTCAGTCTGAGGTATTTTTTTAATTCTCTTCAGTGGCTAAAAAATACATATATACTGTGTTGACATAGAATGTATATCATATCATGACTGGAGTAGAAATCAGAGTTGTATCGTCTCTACAGTCTTTTACTGAGGATGAGTTGTCTCTGTGTTATGAACTTGTGCTGCTCAGATAACATGACGTCATGTTTCTTGTCATAGAAAGAAAATGTTCACGTCTTTAGATTGTTTTTTAAAATTCTGTCCTTATATTGAACATATGGTCGAGTGAGGAGTAGATATATATAATCAACAGCTTTTGTTCTTATTTGTTTTATGTAGATATCTCTCAGATATTTGCTGTGTCACCTTTTCATGTTTAATGTAATTATATTATAAACATGAACCTTTTTCCTGTTTTGTGCATTCCTCTAAAATATTATTTGTTGTGAGGAAACATTAAATTCTCCTGTCATTTCCCTCCATGAGCAAAAAGTTACTCATTTGAATCTGATTATATTATATGATTATTATCTGGCGTTTGTCAACCAATTTAGATCTTTCTGTCTGTTTCTTATAAATGTCAATTGTTTTCAGTTTGTTGGTTCTTATCTCAGCGTAGTATATTCATACAAAAAGCAAGAAAAGTTATTATTTTTTATTTGGCTGTAAATGACTGATGACTGGCGCAGTGGGAGAACATCCTCCCACATTTTCTTTTTGAAATGAGGCCATTAATGATTTTCAAAAAACACGTAATAACCCCACACAGAGTAAGAGAAATAACGTTTGGAACGGTTAACTGTTTTTAGATTTCATATTATCAAGGTCCAGCAGTCTATCCCGACCCTTTAAACAAACCCATCAGTATATGGTCTGCAGGATCTGCTCCTATTCCACTCTCTGTTTGTGTGTGTGTGGTAATGACTGTTCTCCTTTTTGCCGACAAAGCAACTTTCCCGCTCCGCTCATCTCTTATTTCCAGCTGTTTACCAGTGTGCACTCCTCCACCTCTTCCTCATTTCTCACAGTGCTCAGAGTGTGCAGCAAATTGGCAGTTTGCTGTGACGTTACCTGTTTCTCTCCTTTCATACGATGGTGTAAATGTTGCATCAGACATCGGTGGTGTTTGTCTGTGGAGGGAGAACAAACTGGTTATGCCAGGCAGAAGGAAATGAGTTGTGCTCAGCAAATACATACTGCAGTGAGATACAAGTTAACAGGGTGTGAGTGAGTGCATTTGGATGTTTGGATGTTAGAGAGTTTGTACTGGGAGAGGGGAGCTGCTGTGTACGTACATGCATATGTGTGTCTGTCTCTGGCTTTTTCAAATTTGGTTTGAAACCATCAATGTGAAGCAGAGTACCTGTGGGGTCATATACATATTTAATATTCTTAAAATAATACTATTTAAATTCATTTGCAAAGGGTTTGAGGCAGGATTAAATAACGTGTAGGAGTTGAAATATATTGTATTTGTGTCATTAGTTGTGTGACTTGTTACAATGAATGATGTTACAACAGTTCAGGTTTACGTCTGTGTAATGAGTTCTATTCTGGATGAGCTGAGGTGCAAATCAGGGAAAGGAAACAAAACGCACATAACAAACATTTAATGTGGAGTGACGTGGCTTTGGGGCTCATAATAGCTTCATAAATTCCCACTATAGTTCCGCCCATTTTCAACCTGACGAGGTGTAATCATCGGTGTTTCAAGACGCGTGTGTGTGAGACACTGATTTCTTTCCTTTACTTTTTGTATCCTTCATACTTCTTCCTGGGAAGTTGGCATTCAATTTCAGTGTGTGTGTTTTTGAAAGCGTCTTAAAATGTTAGGGTTTAAATTTGATTTGGGAAAATCCTGTCAGTATCCTCTTGTTTGTATTTTGGTTGCTCCTTGTTACTTCAAAATGTCCTCAGCATTGTCCTCAATGTTGGACATTGACAGCTTCAGAGGTCTGTTTTAGTATTAAGGTTAGAATAGGTTGAGGATAAGGTTAAGTACCTGTGATGGTTAATGTGCGACGTTACGGGGAATGCATTATAAATCCTCACAAGTAACATAAGACTGTGTGTGTGTGTGTGTGTGTGTGTGTGTGTGTATGTGTATGGGGGGGGCATCTTCTCCTCGTGCTGTGTTTTTTCCTCCTCCTCTTTGTCTCTGTGCTGGTGACACAGAGTGGAGGTGAGAGGGCAGCAGTACCAATGCAACACCATTCATCACACATGTCAAACAGCTAAACCAGCTGCTGGGGGCAGGCAGCATGAATTTGCATTTCATCCATCCCTCCCTCTCTCTCCCTCCCTCCTTCTCTCTCTCTCTATTTCTCATCCTTTATATATTTCCATCATAGCTGCACATTTGATAGATGACTCCTGAAGCCGAATGATTTTCCAGCTGTTTGGATGAAAACGTTGCTTTATTGACCAACACGTTTCCATGTATTGAGCTTTGTGTCACAGAGCAGACTGGTCTCATGTGGGTCCTAATCAAGAATCAGAGGCATGGGGGGTGTAGTCACAGGGTCTGAGGATTGGTTGTCCTTAATGACAGTGTGTTGGAATGGGAGTGACTGTGTTTCTGGTTCACGTTGAGGATAATAACATAAGGGGGAGCATCCCTGTTTTTATCAGGGTTTCAGTTATCGGGGTTAACAGTTATTAGTGGTGATTACTAAAAGTAAATTTTCAAAGTGGAGACCAAAAAATGGCAAACATTTGTTATTTCTATTTTAATAAAACTACCAAAATTACTATTGAAATTGTATCTTATCAATTATCTGTTGAATTGAATAATTGTTTTAGTGCTAATCTTACACATATATTCAACTTCTGTGTGGTTGCATACATTGTGTTCTATATCCTGCAAATCATTCTACACAACACAACAAGTATAATACATAACTTTTCCTGAAAACAGGTACTTTACTTTCAATGCATCGGCTACAGGTCACTGAACAAACATTTCCATCTAGGAGCCCATCGGCAAATTGTCTTACACCCTCCTTATTAAAAGGAACTTGTGTTTCCTAACTAGACAAACGCAGTGACATGCAAAAACAGAGCTCAACACATTTACTCACAACACGTTAATACTGAATAAATGTGATATTTTCATTTGACTGAGCACAGACACATTATTCTCTGTTAGAGGAAACCAAATTGCAAAAGTGTGAACTGTATTTATCAAATCATATAATATCCCTGCTGCTTAATATCAGTTAGAAACTTATGAAGCTCTGCAGCTCGTGTGTGTCGTGTGTTTGACATAATAAGAAATAAATGATGCACTTGTGTTCCGGGCCCAGATGGGTTGTTTCACGTGGCTTAAAGAGAGCAGGTTACACAACATGTCATAGTTTACTGACTGAGGATCAGCCTAACCTAACAGAAAGTTTTAAAGGGTTTGTAATTCTCTTGTGAGTTTTCCGTACATTTCCATGACATGTTTAGATTTCTCAGCCTCCTCTGCCTGATACATGAATGCCTCTATTATTCTTTGCGATAGTAACCTGAAGGTTATCTCTCTGCACAGCTCTTCTGGCACATTTGTCATCCCACTATATTCTTTTCACATTCACCGACATCCTTGCCTGCCTACACTTTTCCTTTCTCTCCACTCATCTGCTCTCCTTGAGATCTGCAGTTGAATTGTGTTCAGGTGTGGAGTGGGAGGTGGCCTTACATTTCACCTTGCAGTCTTTTCAAAAAGGGACTATTGAAGCTGAGAGCAGGGACTTTCATGAAAGCTGAGAGACCGAATTCAAGAGGGAAAACTGTGTTGGCAGAAATAAACAGTAATTGATTGCGGTGCATTCTAATACGCATCCAGAGAAGCTGTAAAAAGAAAGCAGTGTATGCAT